AATATGATGAAAAGAAAAAATCCAAATGTCTATTCAATTCGAGTGGAATGTTAAAGGAATCCCAAGGGCAAAGCGTAGTTTACCCAATTTCAAAAGGCGAATTTATGAACAAGCACTCCGGACCGATAATAAGCCCAAAGTATTAATTGGGTCACCTACAAACCCCTAATATGAAAAAGACAAGATAGGCCTAGCTCAATAGCATAATAAGCCCACCTAACTTAAAGTCGAGAGATGTGGACTTTTTTTTTTCAAGGATCAAATTATTCCTGAATTTTAGTTAATTAAAATCGGTTTCTCGAATTCTACTTTTGAGTTTGAATTCTCTTAATTTTTTATTTTTTTAAGATTTGGTTTGTTCTTTATTTTTTATAAAAAAATAATGATCATATAAATAACTCTATGATAGAAATTATTGGTAACATTTATCCGAAACTTTCAAAAACCTTTGAAATCATTTTGAGTTATTTTTTAATTTTTTATATTTTTATAACTTGAAAATTTTTAATTTTTTTGTTAAAAAAAAATTGAATTTTTCTCAATTTGTGTGCAAAACTTCACTACAAAATATCAAAATTGAATTTTTTTTTTTTTTTTGTTTAGAAAAAAGAGTGATAGATGAAAATTACAAGATGGGCTTTTTTTTTAAGTTGAGAGAAGATCAAACATAAAATTAAAAGCTCAGAAATTAATTTTTAAATAAATTGAAATTCAGAAGAGATTTAGCGTATTTACCCTTTTTTTTAAAAAAAGAAAAGAAGGTTAAAGAATCTTGAACAATGAAATGGTAGATAGCCTTCGTCAAATTCTTAAATCCTTACCTACTCCAAAGCTTGATCTACTCGTATGATTCAATTCATCATTTAATATGAGAAATTGAAAGGGTGATGGAATTTATTCAATTATTTATGCATCTTTTAAGTGGTTCATAATCTTTTCGAATTCTCTTCCTAATATTTAAGCCTATAAATAGGATTGATTGTTTATTAGTTTATGCACAAGTATTTTATAGAGATTGAGAGATTATTTAGAGTTGTTATCTCTTGTATTCATTTTATTTTAGAGTGAATTCGATCATTTTTCTATCATCTTTCTCTTCAATTATACTATTGTTACTAATTTTTTTATAACATCAAAAAAATTATTTTGAAAGAGTTATTGAAGGCACAAATCATTTTGTTTGTGTTTGTGCTAACATTCCGTTTTCTCTTCCTTTTAATATATTTTATTTCTATTTACAGAATAATTTAACAATTAAACTATTATTCATATACACGTACGAAAAATAAATATCTTTTATCCTCTATCGTTAAAATAGCTAATAATAACTCCACCTTTTGTTTTTTCAAAAAAAAAAAATTTTAAGTATTTCTATGACTACCATCACATTTTAGAGGGATTTGATAAAACAAAATTACAAAAAAAATATGATGAAAAGAAAAAATCCAAATGTCTATTCAGTTCAGTGGAATGTTAAAGGAATCCCAAGGGCAAAGCGTAGTTTACCCAATTTCAAAAGGGGAATTTATGAACAAGCACTCTAGACCGATAATAAGCCCAAAGTATTAATTGGGTCACCTACAAACCCCTAATATGAAAAAGACAAGATAGGCCTAGCTCAATAGCATAATAAGCCCAGCCCAACTTAAAGCTGAGAGAAGAGGGCTTTTTTTTTTTTTTTTCAAGGATCAAACTATTCCTGAATTTTAGTTAATTAAAATCAGTTTCTCGACTTCTACTTTTGAGTTTGAATTCTCTTAATTTTTTATTTTTTTTAGATTTGGTTTATTATTTATTTATTTTATAAAAACATAATGATCATATAAATAACTCTATGATAGAAATTATTGGTAACATTTTTTTGAAACTTTCTAAAAATTTTGAAATCATTTTGAGTTATTTTTTAATTTTTTATATTTTTATAACTTGAAAATTTTTAATTTTTTTGTTTAAAAAAATTGAATTTTTCTCAACGTGTGTGCAAAACGTTAGTACAAAATATCAAAATTGATTTTTTTTTCTTTTTAGAAGAAAGAATGATAGATGAAAATTACAAGATGGGCTTTTTTTTTTTTTTTTTTAAGTTGAGAGAAGATCAAACATAAAATTAAAAGTTCAGAAATTAATTTTTAAATAAATTGAAATTCAGAAGAGATTTAGCGTATTTACCCCTTTTTTAATTTTAATTTTTTATTTTTTTAAGACGGTTAAAGAATCTTGAACAATGAAATAGTAGATAGCCTTAGTCAAATTCTTAAATCCTTACCTACTCCAAAGCTTGATCTACTCGTCATCAGGATCACGAATACTTTTTTGCTATTTTAAGGAAATTGATTTGCTAATACCATGTGAATTTAAAATAGAGGACAATACCAAATTTTTAAGGTCTGATTCATGTGATAATTGGATTTATTTGAATTCAAAATATTATAAGAAAATAAATTTTATAATTGCATTAATTAAATTGTGGATGACTCGATAAAGCAGAGATTTCATCGATCTGAGGTATTTAAATTACTTGCAATAAGAGTCATAAAAAAATTAATTGCCATGAGGTATGGCATTGTTATACAATATTTTTTATTCTTTCATTAAAGCTACTCATAAAATATGATTTTTAATCTATCTTTACATAATAATAAGATCATTTTTTAATATATTCTTATATTCGTAATTTAGTTAATTTGATCCTATATATTAAGTTTCTAATTTATTATTGTCACAAAATTTAAAGATCAAACAGCAAACATTAATTAGGTGATCTGTACATAATTATTTTTTATTTTTAAAATGCTTGTACACGTAGGACAAATATAAGATTTCGCTTACAAATCACTCAATCACTCAAGTAATTATAATAGTTTAACCTGAAAATCTTACGAGAATGTAAAGATTAAGAATTTAATATGTATTCAAGGATAAATTGACTCAATTAAAAATATAATAACAAATTAAAAAATTACTTTATTATATAAAGGACAGATTAAGCCATTAATCCCATAAAATAACAAAAAGTCCAAACTCTATTGTTTGATAAGACTTAAAGAGTAAAAAGTAGCAACAAGTTACCATTTAATTATGAACCTTTTAATGTTAATTTAGCTGCTATAACTATGATTACAATGTCAAATTTACGATAATTTATCAACCTTTTTAATGTCAATTAAGATCGAAGTGATTTGGAGATCTTATGAGAACAAGGAATGATTTTTTGTTGAATGTCAATTCAATATGTTTCCAACATTCTTCTCATTGATTATCCCAAAAAAAAAAAAATGGAAAAAGTAAAAGAAAAATCCCATCAAGCCTTTTATCAATCAAGTACTGAAGCATCTAAAAATGAAAGCTAGTGCTTGAGTGAGGGGAAGAATAAAATAGACTTAGCAAGGTAGTGTCACATGGCTAGAATCTAAAAACGAAAATAGCCTGTTTTATTCATCTTTTGGTTTTTGGAATAGGAGGCAAAACCTGGTCAAAGAAAAGATAGCAAGAGAATATTTGTGGACTGAAAAACCTATATAGACTACAACTTGTGCTAGAGTGAGGGGAAGAAATATACCAAAAACTGTGATTCTTCTGGTGCTAAAAGGAAAATTTTAAGCTTATTTATGAAAGAAACAACTTTATCAGTAATTTCATTTCAGTTTTTTTTTTTTTTTTTTTCTAGGCAGGGATTACACCTTGATAGTTCATACCTCAAAACTTGAGAGAATTTATGGAAGAGTCATTTGACTGTTTGCACATAGAAGGGGCCAAAAAGCTGAGATGCCCATTATATTTTCCGGGTTTTGTATCAGCACAGGAAAAAAAGATTGTAACTTTAGTACACCCTTTTGTCAGAAAAATACAGCAAGGCTCCCAAATTAGCCAATAATGACTCCCCCCATCTTCCCTTTCTCTCTCACCTTCTCCACTCTGATTTCTCTGTTGGGAGAAATAAAGAAGGAAAATGAATAAAAGGACCCAACTTTTGTCACGGCCTTCTTTCACAAGAAGAGAACACAGACCTGCCACCAATAATAGCACCAGAAAATACAATGGCAGTATCGTATTTCTAAGCCAAGGGATCCTTCACAGATCATTGACTAGTCCCCTTTGACCAGTCTGAGAAGTACTGGACAGATTAAATGATAGATGAATGGGTGTTCTCTCCCACTTTTTCTCCATAGAGCGTGTACACACGCTCCAGTCATATTGGATAGATAATTATTGACCCCACAAAGTTCTAAGGTCCTCTTCGGACATGACATGGTTGTGGGTATCAATGGCGCGTGAGATGAATATTTCTAGAGGGATTCCAGTTTTGTAAGAAAATACATATATTTTCAAGAAATGATATTGTGCAGGAATTAATGCAACTCATTGCGATGTTGAAATACTTGCGTAAATCATACAGATTTGAACCAAAATTGGACCTACCACAAGTACATATAATATTCAAGGATGATCAAGTCATCAAAGATTGAAGTTTGATGATCAAGTTCTATTTTTTTTTAAATAATCATAGTAATTATCTTGTTAATGATTAAGTTCATAGCTCATCTGGTATCCATAAGAGATTTCGATTTTGAATTTCTCGAAGAATTGTTGGCATCTAAAAGAGATTTCGATTTGGAAGTTCTTGAAGATTTCTCCAAGAGTTGTTGGTACAACAATGAATAATACATGATCTCCATCAACTACAACTTTCCCCAACCCTCAAAACGGCCTACATTTCACTTTTGACAATAATGCAAACCAAACCCTAGTTGAGTGTCAAGACATAAAATGTGATAAATTTCAGAAGAGGGTCTAAAAAGACATAGAATACATAAGATTATCAATTATGTGCAATGAAAATGGGATTGATTGATTAATAATAATGATAATGATATAACAATGAAGATTTCAATTAATTATCTAGTATCTTAGATGGGAGTAGAGGATCGATCAATGTTTTTACTCAATAATTAATGAGAGTGATCATAATGATAATGAAAGTAGTAGGAGTGGGAGTAGTATTATTTAGAACCTGAAGATTGGTTCTTATGAGAAGCCAAGGCAAGGATGGAATTAGCAAGCTTGTTAATGGCATCAACTAAACCATTAATGCCTTGCCTGTTGATTTCTGTCTTGGATTCCTCAATCTTGAGTCTTCTCTCATGCAAACTCAAGAGATCTCTGTGCCTTCTTTCTTCTCTCTCATCACAGGCCTGAATTGCTTCTGCAATGATCGAAGCACTTTTGGAAATGGCAGTGCCCACTTCTTGTGAGGTACTTGCACTGGCAGTGGCACCACTAGTTCCTTCCCCACCTCCACCGCCTCTTCTCCTTCTCTTTGCTGGTGAGTCTGAATACTCACTTGTATCAGAATCTGAGCTATCACACATCTCCAAAACATGAAAATGTGGAACCAAACCAATCAATACTAACTGAATATAATTATGCAATTATGTCTGCTATGCTATGCTATGTAATAATTACCATTCAATTAAGGTTGATGAGATCATTCAACAGTCACTTTTGTCCACACAATCATACCAAAAACTTAATGGGTTCTTGAAAAAAAGGCTGTTTATAATGCCGAATTGCCAATGCAAGTATATAAGCTAGCTAACATTTTTGGTGTTCAAGTCCACTGCATAAGAGCACAAATACATTAAATTAATCTTGGCATCTCTACGATTTAAAACTGCAATGATCAGACAAACTTTTGTTATGTTTTAAAATGCAATTCAAAATGACAGAAGAGCAATATGTCTTTTGCACATGAAAGTACACATGTGATATTAGACAGATGTGTTTGTGAGCCAAAAAGAAGAAGGAGAAAGAATGAAGCTGCAGGCTTTCATATATATATATATATATATGAGAGAGAGAGAGAGAGAGAGAGAGAGAGTACCTACTGTGGGATATGGCTCAGGATATTGGATTGGAGGGGGTGGTTGAGATTGTGGTTGTTGTGATGGTGGTGGAGGAGGAGGTGGAGGTAGAGGTAATGCCGGAACTGGAGCAGCTGAGACTTGATGCTGCAAAAGTGGAGGCAGTACCGAAGGCTGAACAACAGTTATTGGTCTCTCTACGACATAGCTTATGTTAGGACCAGAAGCTGACCCACCAGCAGCTGCTGTTAGCAATCTTTGTTGACCGCCTCTCTTCTCCACAACCTCCACTAATGCCTCGTATATCTGAGGCAACATGTTACTAGGCAAGTTTCTCTCTTTTCTTTCATTCTTTTCAAGCTTCCAATAGGACCCTTCAATTCCTTCTCCTCTTTCAGCAATTTTCCTCTCATAATCTCTAACTTTCTTGTAATCTCTCATTAAATTATCCCATTTGTCATTACACTGATTTTGGCTCCTCAAACACCCTTCTTTCCAACAATAATCTTCAACCCATTTCCATCTAAGCTCCGTTGGTTTACTTCTCCCTTCTGCACTGTCACTTCTCTTCATTCTTCTCTCATCATCCATTCTTTTTGCTTCAATCAAGACCATCGTCTCACTAACTGTCCAGTTACCTTTCCTATATTCCCTTATCAAACTACTACCACCTTGATCAGCCATCATGATCCCTACTTCTTAGGTTAAAAGCATGCAAAACTCTGAACCCTTGCCGCCTGAAGGACATAAAAAGAGGGAGACAAGTCAAGTGTTCAAAGAAGGAAGGAAGGATGGATGGATGGATTGAGAAGAGAAGAAGTGAGCCAAGAAGCAAAGAGAATAGGTCCAATAGGTCTTTATCGGTCTTTTGCTTCCTTTTTGGAGACTTGATTTGATGTGGGTGCTCAAAGCGGTCAAATTTTTACCAAGATAGGAAATTTAGGTACAATAAAAACGTTAATGTGTCTATCTAAACAAGGATAAATGGTTCTATAAACATGACCTAATGACAAAGGGGGGTTTTTTAGTACTTCTTGGTAGTTCTTATGTTTTTTGTGAGTGACTTTTGTTTGCAGTTTGCAACCTATAAATGACAAGTAAACATAACCAGCCTGTTTTCACTATCTTTTTCTAAAAATTTTCAACCTTTTTGAGCTTTAGTTAGATTTGCACTCCCCTTAAAATCTTCAAAAATCTTCAAAGGTTAAAGTTCAAATCTAAAACTACTTATGCAAGCCACTGCTCCCTACATATTGAGGGAAAACTATGAGAGAGACCCAAAGGGGTGACGAAGAAGAAGAAGAGAAAGGACCAATCAAAATACATTCAAACTGACATTTCCACAGACCCCAAAAATTTCATAGAGAGAGAGAGAGATATGCATTTTACTTTTTCTTAATTATTATTATTTTCTTTTTCAATGAAAGGTAGATTTGAGAGAGAAAAATATAGGGGAGTCGCCAGCATTAGCATGACTGCCACTGCCCACACACATGGTCTCTAGTTACTAATCATCTCACCTTGTTACAATTTGTTAAGAGTTAATTAATGTAAGCAGTATCATGGGATTTTCTTAACTTTTGTAGCATTCTTTGGAGATTCTTTAGTCTTTGATATGCTTGGACAAGTGAGATTCTTTTTCAATTGACTTGAGTTTCCCCGTAAAGAACCTTTATGAGATAATACCTAATCTTGCAAAAACCAAAGATTGCATGCTAATCAAGAAGTTAGCTCAAGATCATGTGTGGAGTTGAAATGTATATAGATTGGCATGGCATGGCATGTCATGACATCTAAACTTCCAAAAAGAATGGCTTGTCATATGCAATTGATATTCGTGGATAGAAAATTAAAATCTTGCTTGTAAATTGTAACTTCTAAATCATAAGGTATTATGAGTTAGAGAATACTCCTTAACTACGTTTAAATAAAAATTGATTTTAAACTACATAATATAAGGATATTTTTACCACTAAACCTAAAAAGGAAAAAGAAAATTGTAACTTGTAAGATACCCATTAAGTTTACTACTATAAGAAAGCAACATAGGAGCATGAAAGTTCAAAGGCTGATTGACCAAATAATTTTGGACATATCCCTTTTGAACTTTTTCTAGTAGGATTTCACATGGGGTTATAGCTCATAGGTATTATGAAAGTTGGAACTCTATGGAATCCTAAAGATGCAACACTATTATCCTATAAAGGTTGATTCCAATTTCTTTCTTGGTAGGCCAACTGGCCTTATTTTTAGCCTTTTTCTTTTCTTTTCTTTGTTCTGTAGCCATGAACCTTGCTGCGTAGGGGGAGAACAAAAGATGTGACATGTAAATATATATATTTATAGAGAAAATAAATCGAGTAGACAAAGTCATTATGTTTAAAGATTCTTAAAGTCTTGGATGAATTAGATCATGCAACAATGTTTATGATTAGTTGAAGAGGCACTATATACTATATTCAATATTGAAGAAGATCAAGCAGAAGAAATCTACATTGAAAGACTAAAATAGCATGACAATGAACCCTAATCATTTGGTTAGCCTCACAACGATCCCATGTTTTGCCCAATTACCATGCAAGAATGATAAATAATTGCCCAAATACACATCAAGCCCTAAACATCCATTAAATTTGCCAAAAATACCAAAATTTTGGATCCTTATGAAGAAGTTGACAGTTTTGTCCTTTCAGGAGGTTACACAGATGTCAATTTCGTATTTTGAGGCAGGACATTTAAAGCCTGGGTGCCATGTCAATGGCCCTTTTTTTCGCTCTTTTTTACATCTTGCCAGCTGTATCGGACCTGAGAGAGGATGTACAAAAATTTGCAGAGTTAACTTTGACTAGGGCTTTGACCGGAGAGGACGCTTCAATGGGGTCCTGAACTGAAACCCTTGACTGGTCTTTTTCGTTCCAAGGTTTTGGACTCTAGCCTGCTCCATTTTTGTGGTACAGATGCCGAGGGCATTTTCGTCATTTAAGAAGTAAAGGCCGTTTTTTTTTTTTTTTTTTTTGGCTAACTTTAGTATTTTGTGGCCTTTATATAGTTTGCATTTTTAGTTACAGTTTGCACCCTTTTATCAGTGGAAGAATGACTGCAGAATCTGAGCTATGAAAATCGAAAAAAAACAAAATCGAAACAAAGAATATTATATTACACAATTGCTGATACGCCTTGTTGAAATTAATGGATGTTTGTTAAAAAAAAAACATTATGGATGATATTTTATTTGATTGGTAAAATGTAAAAATTGGTGACAAACACGATTTATTACTTCTGTTTTTTTTTAAAAAAAAGATTTTGATGCTACGAGGACGGAATTGATTCGGTAATTAAAGATGCGGTATTCAAACTTTAAGTTAAATAAGAAGAAATAAAGTTCTTATAAACTCATAGTTTTTATCACTGTCAGAATTTCAACATATAGAGATGAAAAAATTTATCATTATCTTATATAAGCGAAGGATTAACGACAATGCAGATTTTATCGATAAAATAGTGATCGTTATTTTCTCAATAATTGAATTTTTTATCCGTTACTGATTTGTCAAATTTTATTAACTTAATCGATCTAAAACAGTCGTCTGAAAAATTTTATTTTCGTCATCATGCCGTCGTTATTTTCACTTACATTTGTAATTAAATAGCAACAAAAAGAGTATCATTAAATTATAATCATTAAGATCCTCGTATTTCGTCACTAAATCTATCGCTATTTAGTAACTGGATTTGGTGATAATATATATTTTCATCAATGGCAAAAGCTTATGGTTTGTTTCAATTTTTATATATATGTATATTTGAACATATTACAAAGTCTTTTTTTTTTTTTTTTGTAACAGTTAGATGGAAGATATGATGGATGATAATTCATAATTTTTAAATAAAAAAAAAGATGACAAAAAACAATTTCAATAATATCAAATGAGTAAAAACAAATTGCTATTCTCACAAAATATCTGAATAATAAAATAATAAGAACCATGACTTGTTATTTGAAAGGTAATTGACAGCACCAACTTGCCTTTTTTTTTTTTTTGGGGGGGAGGTGCGCGCGCAAAGTTTGAGCTGAAAGTTGGAGCCCATGTTTTGCAATTTAATTTGAACTTTCTACGAAGATGGGCAAGAAGGAGCTAGCTAGCTAGGGATGAAATGTCCACACCATATAATCCAAAACAGTTCCTTTAATGAAACAGTATTTATTATTGGCAGGGGACCATCTCCATTCCAATTTCCAGTAGACTCTAGAGATATGGATAAACTAGTGTTTCTCCTACTATATATTTCTTCTTTTCTTTTCTTTTCCCTCAAAAATTTCAGGCCATGAATTGGCTTGTGTCTCTGTCTGATTGCAATTGATATGAAAAAGGTAACTTTACAGCCTGATTTTAAGCAATTATTACATATTGTTCCTCTATCAAATAAGGATTCCAACAAATTAAGTTAGAACAATGTTATACATATAAATAAATCGTACAAAATTTTCATAAACCTTATAGAAGGATTCCTTTCATATTTAGTCTTAATTCGTAAATTGCAAGAGTCTAAAGAACTATGCTAGTTTATCTTTCTTAATCCTTATGGTTGTGTTTGGTTTATGAACTCAGAAAGAAAAATGGATAAAAAATGTGAGATTTTGCATTTTTTTTTTAATCTTTTATTGGTCATAAAAATATTAAATATGAAAAATATCAAGCAACCTGCCATTTCTATTCTCCTAATTCGATGGAGGGAAAGTTATCCATTAATCAGAAAAAAAACATGTGGAGTCCAAATTTCTCAATGTTATAAAAGTAAAAATTTAGAACACAGCCTAAATACCCTCATTTTCCTAAACTTCAAGATATAAATACCGACCAAAAGTGATCCTATATAAAAGAACTAATATCTTAGAACACACAAATAAAATAAAAGAAATAATGATCAAACAATTAAAGTCTAACATCATACTTTAGAAAGCATGTTAATCCGTTATTTAAGATAAAAATACTCTTTATCTTCTTATTTAATAAATGTACGTGTAACAACAACTTGATAGATTGCTGGTAAGCAAACATCAAATTGTAAGATAACTAGATTTAAGATTCTATTTTTATGGTTAGTATTGTTGAGAATCTATTTTCAAAATACTCAAAATCGTATGTTGAGAAGTGACCTTTAGCCACGTTCAAAAAAATATTATTACTTTCGAGATATATGAGATATGATTTGAGAACACCCTTAATACTAAATCTTTAAAAAAAAAATTGTTTGTATGTATATATATAATTTGATTTCAGATTTTCATAAAATTTGTAAAGTGAAACTAACAAAGAAATAATACTGGAAATTTCTTTCTCAAGAATCACTTTTTTGGAAGAGTGATTAAAAAAATAAAAACCATAACAATAATTACATTTTGTGAAGCAAACGGTACCTGTTAATACTCACAACAAAACAGAAAACATACCCATCTTCACCACTCAATACCTAAGGAACAATGAACACATCCATATAAGTAGTGCTTAGAGAGTTAAACCTCTCTCTTTTGTTTTTGTTAATTCAAAACTACTGGTTTCACTTAGGAATTACGATTCCCTTTCTATAGGATTACGGGTAATTATCTGGGAAAAAAAAAAAAAAAGAAACAACAACTAACTTTTCTTGAAATATATGAACTAAGGTTGTCTTATCATGGGCAGCCAAATGTAACCCTAGAAAGATGTACTTCGAAAGATGTAGAGCCACTGCAAGGTTCTTAATTAGTCTCAAACCATTAAGTGATGCTTTTGTCTTAAGGATATTTCAAACCCTCCCTTCATAGAGAATATGTAAAATTATTTACCTTTTGACAAGGACTAATTAAGAAACTGAGTATAATCATGAGAAAAGAATTCCTTTACACTCATAAAACAAGATGGCATCCTTTATTGCAAGTTGGTTCAGAATATTTCTTTATTGTTTTGTTTATCTTAATCATATCTTTTTATTAATTTTCTCATTAATTTTATCCTTCTACTTTTATATGCATCTTAATTTCGTCTCTCCGTCCAAATTTTCAAGTAATGACGTCAATTTTTGACAACAAACGCATAAAATGCTGACACATTATAATTTTTTTTAATTTATGAAAAAAAGAAAAAAAATCACAAATGACCTTTCTTTTTATCTCGCCTTTATGTATGTAAATATATAATTAATTTATCCCTCAATTTATTTATTTTTATTATTATTAATTTTTTTTCCTTTCTCTCAAATCCAAATGAAAAAGAAATTTTTTTATGTATAGGAAGGAACAATTTTTTTTTAAGAAATTTATTTCAAATCCAAACCCAAAGAAAATTTTTTTATGAAAATTTTTTCATAACATAGGATCAAAAGCAAAAGGCAGGAAAAGAAAAAAAAAAGAGAGAGAGAGACATTTTGGGATTTTTTATTTGTTTTAGAAATTTAATGTTTTTTAAAAAACAAAAGTTGCCAAGTGTCAACATCATGTGTGTCTGTTGACGAAAAATTTAGTCATCTGAAAATTTAGATGAATATATGAAATTAAGACGTCAATTAGAATAGAGGGATGCAATTAATGAGAAATTTAGTAAAGAAAAACCATTAAGATGAACAAAATAATAAAAAAACAGACACCCTGAACCATTAAGTCTCTTTTTGATTCAACGAAAAGGTCCAGCAAGTCTAGAGTTATATAATAAGAATAATCGTCTATCTTTATGAGAGTTTGATTTCTAGAATTTCACATAGAATTCAAGTTTTAATTGTTGGGGCATCATCCTCTAAATTTCTGAAGACTTGAACCAAGGTTGTTTTTTTCTTTTTTTTTTTAATTACAATTTACGGTGTCTTTGGATCAGTAAAATATTAACTAGAAATTTTATTTCTTTCCTAGGATTTGAATGCTTCTGCTGAGGGGTACCAAGTTTTAGGAGCACATGATTAGCCCAATTTAGCACAAACATTTGAACTTTTCCGCAAGAGGGCCTTTTCACCGAATCTGCCAACCTTGAATATCCTCTGAAGGCCACAAGCATAACAGCCCGTACAGAGGCCCAACCTTGAGGATATCTCCTGGTTTCTATTTTATTCCTCTCAGATGAGAAAAGCCCAAGTTCTTACAGCTTTCATGGTGCACTTCAACACGACAAGTGTGTTTTTCTTTTGTCCATTCTTAAATTACATACCATTAAGCATTAGATTTTTTTACACACGCTATACTGTAGATCGAATAAATACATACAGTTATTTTTAAAAATTATTTCATATTCTTTATATTTTTCATAAATTTTATCAAAAAATTATTTAATAGTATAAAAAATGTCAAAACCAATGAATTCTTAGCTAAAAATTTATTTTTTAATTTTTTAAAAACATTTTTTGCCTTAAATTTAAAAAAAAAATCAGAAAAAAGACTAAAGTGACCAAAACCAAACAAAAAATATTTTCGGATTGAAAAAACCATATTTAAAAAAGAAAAACCAAAGTGTAATATGAAAAAAGCTTTCATAATAAATATATTAAAAATATTTGAAGATTACAAAAACATCACTATATAGTAAAAGGAATAGCGAACCTATCTGGGTAAATAATAAAATACGTGTGTGTAAATAGTATTTTAAATAATGAATGAATAGTAAACCATAGTTTTACTTTAATTTTATTTATAATTATAATTTATAATAATATAATGTGCCTGAGATGAGGTTTTTCAAGATCGTTCAAATGCTGAAAAATGTAACTTCTTGATCCATCTCCCGTTGGTCACCTCCATTCTTTGAAAACTTGAAATTCCCGTCGGATTTTTCCTGGGCCTTAAATAACCATGTTACTCAATAGTCCCCGACTCTTTCTTCTGGAAAGATAAATTTTTCAATCACTTCTGAACCTGGCTTCACTCGTATTTCCTCCTTTGTCCAGTTCCGAAGACCAACTCCTACCCTATGCTTGAACCCTCTGCTGCTGAGGCTTAACCCTTCAAAATTCGGATCCATTCAAAGTAGCTCTGGTTCGATTGAAATCCTTCTAAACGTGGCATCATATCTACTTGCTATTTTCAACACGGAAGATTAGCAGTACAGGCTTTTCCAGGTCTGCTATCACCAATTTCTACCATGCCATTCGACAAAATAAATACTCAAAACACAGAAGGCTCATCGGAACCTAAATGCTCTAGATCATTTCAACCTTGCCTTATAAATTTATAATTTCCTCAAGGAAGAGGAGGCAAAATAGGCTGGAAAAGCAATTAAGCTGCCAAGGATTATCAGAATGGGCTATCTGGATCGCATTTCATAGTTGAAATTTTGCCAATTCTATTTTGCTCTCCAAATATGAAGAGGAGATATTCTGGTCTTTAAACACCTAAAAAATTCTTACACGCCATATAGTTTATAAGCAAGTACGCTTTCCTTCAATTATCAACTTTTAAGCCTCTCCAAATTAGTAAGATTGAGCAATCATTAAGCAATAACAAAAGAATTTGCAAGTTGTTCAGGACTAAACAAGAATAATAAATATATAGCATCATTTGAGATACCAACATCATCAAAATCTTTAAAACGTTTATGTCTCGAACTAAACTATTCCTGGAAAGGGATGGAAAAAAAAAAAAAACTAAACAAATGACAAGTTCAGTTCCCAACAGAAGTTGATACTCTTTATAAAACTCACTGACGATTATGCTAAATGTGCAATACATGCTCAAAGTATAAACTCTCGCAGGCTTTACCAATTACCACCTTCGTCGACTACAGCACTTACAGGTGCAGCTACAGGTTGAGGTGGGGGATCAGCAACACCCCAATCATCCAAACCAGCAGCAGCTGCAGATGAAATGAACAATTTAAGCATTGAACAGCTAGAGAAAGCCTTTATGTACGAATGCAAGTGTTGTGTGTAGCAAGTTAGCTAGTGTGAACAAGCTAACAAATTCAACATCACCCACAAGGCTTCACACCAGAACCATTGTCATGCAGCTTAATCAACAACTCAAAACACACTTCATACCTTGTTCTGGTGCCCAGCTTGTTGTGGCAGGCACAGCAGGAATTGGCAACGCCTCATTGGGCCATCCACTATCAGCAACAGGGTTAGACCAGTTGTCAGTGGCACCACCCATAAAGTCAGCTCCAGTAAGTGCATAGTCGACAGGAGCAACCACATCTTCCTCTTCCTGAGGTTTTGCTTCCTCAGGCTCCCTGTAGAAAAATAAATCAACCTGCCAAATAGGAAAAAAAGCGACATAAGAAAACTTGTAGCTAAGATATAAAACTGCATGCTAATTTATGTTGACAAGGACCCAATATGTAAGAGATTAAAATCAAGGAGTCACTCAGGGTTTCTCTTTTAGTAAAAAAAAAAAAAGAGCATTCATTATGCATGCACTTGTGAATTCGAGAAAACAAATTATTTATACCATGGTAGCATAGTTGATCATGCAATTGAAGTATTATTATGAGCATACATAATGAAGAACAGCATTTAAGTCTTATTGCAATTTGAAAACAAAGAATTTCATATGGAACTCACCATAACATCCCACTTGAGCCCTGGACGAATGGTGCCTCGCATTTCAAGAACCATCCTTGCCAAAAGCCAAAATAGACATCCAATGCTGTGCTTTCCCTTGTTATTGGCTGGAATACCAATATCCACATACCGCATTGGGGAGTCAGTATCACAGAAAGCAATGGTTGGGATATTTCCCAAGGCTGCTTCCTTGATTGGCTACAAGATAGAAAATAAACTCAAGGTTAGAAGCAACATGCGAAAAACAAACCATGAGAAAATCAGAAAGCGCTAAAACAAGCCATGATATAAATGATTGCTAGCAATGATCACCTGGTGGTCAGTCCTTGGGTCAGTAAGGATAAGAAGACGAGGCTCACTGAAGGAAGTTTGGAGCTGATTTGTAAATGTACCAGGAGTATGCCTTCCAGCAATAGCATGAGCACCGGTGTATTGAGCAAACTTCAAAACAGCTCTCTGACCATAGGGCCTAGCTGACTGAACAATAATGTCTTGTGGGTTTTCAATAGCAACAATGACCCTGGCAGCCAATAGAAGCTTATCCCATGTCTTACCAAGGTTAATGATGTAAATTCCTGTAACAATAAATGCAAACAACTCAAAAAGCAGAAGCAGAGCACAACCTAATTTAACAGATTACAAATTCAAAAGCAACCAAGAGCCATATATCTACAAACACAAATCTGGCTTGAAGGTAAAGGACTTATTTAACATAAAAATAGAATCTTTCTAAGCTACATTATCTTAATTAAGAGCCATTAAATAATTTACATTTCGTAAGTAACAACTAATGAAAAATTCAATGAGTAATACTAATCAAACACCAAATCTTCCCAAAATCACTTATCAAAAACTCTCAACCATTGAATAAGTGGATTGAATCCCTGAAATCTAATGGTGGAAATTCTTTAAGAAGCAATTTCAGAAAAGATGTTCAGTAATATTGCATTATTCAAATTTGATATGTGAGTTACAAATTTTTATTATTTCACACATTTCTTATAGCCAAAACCACACACAAAAAAAAAAAAAACCATTCTCTTAACAATTACTATTAAAAAAAAAATACACAACCTTAAAAACCCAGAATCCAAACATGAAAAAAAAAAATCCAATTCATTACCTAAGACAAAATCCCATTTAGACAAAACTAAAATAGAACTCAAAAACCTTGTTCTTTCAGACATCAACTACACACGAACTTCGAAACACAAAACCTTGAAACTAACCATTTCACTAAGAAAAAAACATTAATTGACTTTGAATTTTGTTACTGTAACTAACTAACCGTCATTGCGGCGCTTGAAAACGTAACGCTCCATTTGGAAATTACAGTTTTTGGTGCCTAGGTGAACTTCAGCAGCCAACATCATTTGAATGTCAGCTTCTTTCTGGGACAGCTGCCGCTGTGGAGCTGGGGCTGCTTCTGTCATGTTCGTCGCCATGATTTCGCCCTCTAGAGGTTTGGGGAGATTAACCCGCAAAAGCTAGGGTTTTGTGCAGCTAGCGAGGAAAAGTTAAGGCGTATGGCGTTGTTTGGGACAGTGGATTGGACTTTGCTTATAAAGGAAACGATGATAAAGAGTAAAAGAAGAAACCCTAGATCCATTATTTTTTGGGTTAATTACTCGGTTGCCCTTTTAAGGACTGGGCTTCATTTTAATTGGTTCAGGATAATAAGTGGGCCGAAGAGACAGCCTTGTATTGTAGAGATCATGGGCTGTATTAGATGGATTAGTGGACTAAATTATAAATTAGTCCCTCTTGGTTTAAAACATAATTATTTAGTCTTTTACGTTTTAATTCCGTATATAATCTTTGATCAGTTTTCATTAGATTTTTTATAGTGATTTTTATTCTCAAATTACTATTCTTTTTTATTTTCGATTGAAAAAGAGAAATAAAATAAATGAAAAAGCTAAATAAGACATAAAAAAAAGATAATTCGAGAAAAAAATACCAATATAACGAAAATTGATAAAAGAATTCAATTATTAACGAAATTAAATACTCTGGATTATCTAACAGAGTATTTAATTTCGTTTTTCAAAATAAGAGAGACTAATTTATAATTTATTTTGGATTAGTGTAAACTTGTTTCGAGAATATCTTCACCCTTAAAAAATAAATTTCAAGAAAAATTGATTTCTTGTTTATGAGGTGATCGATAGTTTTTACTTTCTTTAATTGATTTCAATAATATTAGTATGCATCCACTAAAAATGTTCTTACTTTTCTTTAAGCCGGTGTCTAATAAAAGGGTTGAATTGTGCCTGGAGATCATCAGTAGAGGGAGTTTCAGAACTGGACTACAATACAGTTCTGTTTATCTTCCCTCCGCCAACCTAATCTTTTTAAGATATGAAGGAGGGTTGAAAACCAACTGGTTTGGTTTCTAGTCTCTGTAGTTTGACTACAGAGAAGGCTACTGGGATGATCTATATTCTTCATGATAGCCCTTGACTCGTCTTTGAACTTTAAAGGTCTTCATTTAATGTAAAAAATGCCAAAACCAACATGTCTGCTATGACTGTGTTCTGCAAATCTGATCCAAGCAAGATATCTTAGACCATGCAAAACAAACAGATATATGAGAGGAAAAACATCAGTGAAAGATTGGAGTAAGTGTTTGGTTGCATTTTGTCATCAAGAATTGTACCAAAGATAAACAGGTGCGTTTTGGATGAGTGGCAGAACCACACTGGAGTTGAATTTCTGCAAGGAACCCCATCTTGATACTGCAAACTTCTGCTGCTCGAGCCACATCTTAACCCAATTGACGGTACGCTCAAGGATTTCCACTTCCCGATGAGATCCTCAGGTTTTTCCTTCGGCTTTCACTCTCTTCGGACGTAGTCAGTCCACTATCAGACCCTTCGACGTGACGGAACAGCAGAAATTTCTGCTAGGTTTTTGAAAAGAGAATTGAGCATGCATAGGATAGGAGGGGTATTTCCGACCACCTCAGCTATTCAACAACAAGAATGTAAAAATTCTGTAAGGAAAAACAATCCATATGACTCAATTTGAGTGGGTTTTTTCCCCATTTCATCAGATAGACTCCTATGCTTCTCATAACAGCATATCCTGCAATTTGCTAAGATTATTTTAAGGCAATTTTCTTTATCTTTTTGTTTCTAATTTCTTTAAGCTCAACTAGCTTGTTCAAATGATTGTTGTCCAAAAAAATCAAAGAATTTAATTGAGTTATTTGATTAAAAAGTGTTAATTCCTAACACTTTCATGAAAAAAAACTTCACCTGCCTTGTCGTTTCCATATTTCCATTGGTTATTTGAAGAGAATAGAAACCTTGAAATTTTTTGACTCAACGACTCTAAAGTACTGACAGAAAGTCTCTTCTCTTTTCTTCTTTTCTTTCCAATGAATCAAAGAGTTCCATAACGCATCGGAAAATTTGAATAAGATGATCAAAATGGCTTACAGACCATTTTTAGTATCAATTATGCTGAAGAAAATCCCTTTAGGTACTAGAATTTCTCATTTGTAATCTTCATCTTCGGCAATCACTGCATCCCAATTTCAGCAACCATCCAATAACTATATCAGGTCTTGAATTTCTATCTCTAATGGCAATCTTGATAATTTGGATATAAACTGTGTAGCAGAGAAGCTATGTTATGCTGCTAATGTTGATGCAACTTCGTATCATTTTCATTATTAAATCGAAGGAATATATATAATCTATCAATCTTGCATATATTTTGATTCCATGTATTCTATTTTGGCATCAGAATTGATAAAAAATCTTGTGGAAAATTCCTTCCAGCTCGGAACTTCTAGCCTATCAAGAAACTCTTTACGGAATTTTTAAGGTGGTCAAGAAATATAAGTTTGTGCGAGTCTTAAACTATTATGAAGTCCCCCGAATATCATGAGTCCGTTAAAACATATCCCACATTGAATAATTAAACCAATAATAAATAATATATAAAGTTGAGAAGGGGCCACCCAACATAAGGCTTAAGTATTTTGGATGAAACTTAATTTCAACTATCGAACTCTATATGGTAGCAAAGCCTCAAAGAGGCCCAACGTTCAAAGAAAGATCCCGGAGCCCAAGCCACTTGATAGACCCCAAAAGATGGGCTGCAAGTGAGGGAGAGTGTTAAAACATATCCCACATTGAATAGTTAAATCAATAATAAATAATATATAAAGTTGAGAAAGTGCTATCCACCATAAGGCTTAAGTCTTTTGAATGAAACTCAATCTCAACTATCTAACTCTATAGAGCCAACACCTTAAGATGCATCCGATAAACATTTCTCTTTGATTTTCTCAAGTCCGGTCAAAGCATCTCTCACGTTGATCCTTGCTTCAGGAGAATGCACGTGCAAGCTACTACTAGTTCCATTATGGATGTTAAACAATCCATCTTACCGGAAAAATCACGGCCCTCCCTCGCTAACAAACAATGACTTCAACGAATCGAATGAGGAAGTGACTTAGACACCTAACTCTTCAAGCTCATTTCTCCAACAAACATTTCATTTGTTGGCTTCTTTCCGATGAATGTCTCCATCAACAAAATCCCATAGCTGTAAACATCGACTCTTGTTGACACTAATCCTTCCATGCCATACTCTACACATGAAATTTATATAGATATAGTTCAATCGAATAAATGGCGAAAAAGTCTAGGACTTGATAAAGAACATAAAAGAATTATGAAATGGTTTACCCGGTGGCGTGTAACCAATTGTTGCAAGAGTTTTGGTTTATGTCATAGAATGATCATTACCATCCAAGAGCTTTCCAATGCCAAAATCTCCAACATGTGTAACTATTTCTTCATCTAGCAAGACTATGCTTGGCTTCAAGTCACAATGCACCACAGGAGATGGATATCCATAATGAAGATATTCTATTACGGATGCAACATCTATCATTATGTTTAAACTTTGTACCGGAGGATTCCGAATGCAACCACTTTTCTAAGCTCCCACTAGGCATGTACTCAAGAACCAAAGCCTTAAAATCAACGGTATTAGAGCAACTTTTGATGATTTTTAAAAGGTTTCTATATTGAATGTTGTGCATAATCCGACATTCCGCATCAAAACTTCTAAAAGCCCCTTCAACTTATAAGTTGAAAACCTTTACCATAACAATCATCCCATCCGAAAGTACGCATCTTTATACTCTACCAAAACTTCCCATTCCAAAAAGATTACCTTCATTGAATTTATTGGTTCCAGCTTAAAATTTCTTGATATGAAATTTTTCTCTATGATGCTTATGAGTGGTAAAGGTCCTTCTTGGTTGGGGACTTGCTTATTCTTCTTTCAAACTCTTATTAGGATTACAGCAATTAGAATGAGCATTATAAGAATAGTAGATGGCAAAATGTATCCGAAAAATTTCAATTTAGCTTTATTTGATCTTGAAGCATTATCATTCTTGTAAGTTGGGAAACTTGGAGCCAAGCCATACGATACATCATTCGACATGAAAGATTGTTCCGTGAAGTTTACAAATGGCCCTCCACTAGGAATTCTTCCTTGTAATTGATTGCAAGATAAATTTAAGTATTTGAGATCCGAAGTCCTTTCATAGATGTTGGGATCACACCGGATAAATTGTTGTAAGATAAATCTAAGAATTCCAAGCCTTTCAACTCACCAAATACTTCGGAATCCGACCTTGTAGTTTGTTGTGAGCTAATGAGAGATTAAGTAAACTCTGTATACCTCAAATGGTGCTTGGGGATGTTTCCCGATAAGTTTTTTCCTAATAGATATAATGCAAGAAAAACCTTTAACTCGTCCAACCTCTAGTGATAGGGAGCCACTTAAAGAGTTAGATGATAAGTTCAAAGCCAAAAGATCATTAAGACCCCAAAGAGTTGAGGGTATCCGTGATGTCAACTTATTGGAGTCCAAGCAACATGCCTCTTAAAGTGGAAAGACTCCCCAAGCATGGTGGTATGGACCCGGATATCCCATTTCTACCGAGAGCTATAATGCCTATACTCTTTAAATAACAAAATTCATTTAGAATGGAACCTTGTAGATTATTGTTCATAACATATAATCTTTGGAGATTCCGTAGTCTTCCAAATGTTGAAGGAATTGAACCGAGTAATGTTGTTATAGCTTAGGTCTAAGTCTCTCGAGTTGCTTAAATTATGAATTTCTTAAGGTATCCCGCCTTTGAGTATGCAATTATTTGCCCAAAAAGTTTGAAGAGAAGTTGAGAGATTTCCAATAGATGTTGGAAGAAAACCATCTAATGGATTATTGCCTATCCACAAGCAATATCATATTTCGTAATTAGTCAAAGAATCAAAAAGCCAAGATTTTTAGAAGGTTCACTTGTAAAATAATTTCTCCGAAGACTTAGCTTTTGAAGGAATTGGAGAGAACTAAGATTCATCAATATAAAACCCGTTAATGAGTTCCTAGATAGATCAAGAACAGTGAGTTTTGAGGCATTAGAGATGGAACTTAGAAATGTTCCACTCGGATTACATGATCCTAGATAAACTTCTTCAATATAAGGGAGCCAAGAACCAAAACTTTATGAAAGATTGCCCCAAATTTAATTGCCCACAAGACTAATGATTCTCATTGATGAGTCGTTGAAAATACTTGATGGAATGTAACCTATTAGTCCGTTCTTTGAGAGAGCTAGCTCCTTCGGATATTTAAGGTTTCCTATATCTTCTAGGATTCCCCTGCAATGCATATAAACACTATCTCGATCACATTCTTCCTACTATTATGTTGGGCAAGAAAGATGTGTTCATGCCATATATATGTAAGTTCTACACCGAAAATGCACTTGAAATGGAAGTGTTATGTTTTAGCTTGTTTTTATCTATATTGGTTTTCATTCAAAATGGTTATGGTCTTACAAATAATATGAAGTACTCCTTTAAGGTTTTGTGAGCAAATATATGTAAATTCTGGAGGTATGGAGTTGTACTCGTCAAGTTGTTCTTTTGGATAGTGAATGTCCCGAGGAAAGTGCAATTTTCAATATCTCTCGATAGGTTTCCTATGATATTATTGTTTTCAAGATTAAGTTCCTTGAGTACGGAAGGCCATGACACATATCCGGAGGAGACTATCGGATAGGTTGTCATTCAAGAGTCTAAGAGATTTCAAGAATGAGATGTTGAAAACTCTAGATGGAATAAGACTCGTTAATCTATTAGCCTCCACCATCGGCATTTCTAGATTATAAAGACTAACAGGTTTTTTTGGGAATATTACCTATCAACATGTAAACAGAACATCTCAACTACTATTAAGATAAACATTTTATAGACATACTTACACGTAGCATTATATAGGAAAAATAAAGAATTATGAAATAATACCTGTTAGAGTGTAATTCTTCTATATTTTCTTGAGTACTACCATATATATATATATATATATAGGTGTATAACTATAATAGGAAACTACAGCTATACGGAATATGCTAGTTAGCTAATTTACAAGAGATAGCCTAACCGATTTCTAGGACTAATTTTAGGAAGGTAATTGTCCTGGTTGACTTTTTCTAGTTTGAATTTACCAATACTTCCCCTCGAAGCTAGTTTGAAGATATCTTCCATAGCCGACTTGTTTACTAACACATTGAACCGAGTGGTGGATAGGCCCTTAGTGAGAATATCTACCACCTGTTGAGATGTAGGAACATAGGGAATACATATTAGTCCATCTTCAATCTTCTCTTTAATAAAGTGTTTGTCTATCTTTATATGTTTAGTCCTATCATGTAGTACGGGGTTATAAGCAATAGAGATAGCGGTCTTGTTATCACAATAAACCTTCATAGGCTTTGTGACTAGAATCCGTAATTCATCAAGGATGTATTTTATCCATATAGCTCCGCATACTCCATGTGCTAAAGATCTCGGCTCGAACTTCGCATTGCTTCTTGCAACCACATTTTACTTTTTCCTCCTCCAAGTCACTAGGTTTCCTCTAATAAAAGTACAATAACCTAATATAGACCTTCTATCTTTCATATTTCTAGCCCGGTTAGTATCGGTATACACTTTAACTTGAAGATTATTTCTTTTTTGAAACATCAAGCCTTGCCCTTGTGTTCCCTTTAGGTATTTTAGAATTCTATAGGCGGCCTCAAAGTGTTGTTGGCCGGTGAGTGCATGAACTAGCTAAGCATGCTTACTGCGAATGCTATGTCGAGTCTCATCGTGAGTTAGGTAGATTAGTTTCCCTACTAACCTCCGGAATTTTTCCCGATCAATTACATCTTCGGGATTGACGAGTTTTAACTTTACATTAGGCTCCACTGGAGTCTCTACAACCTTACATCTTAGTAAACCTGTTTCATTTAGAAGGTCCAAGATAAATTTATTTTGGTTCACAAATATCTTGTTTTTAGTCCTTAAAAACTCCATTCCCAAAAAATATTTTAGAGGGCCAAGATCTTTCATTTCAAACTCCCGTGATAGTTTCTCCTTAAACCTCCTTATTTCTTCAATGTCATCTCTAGTTATAATGATGTCATCTACATAAACAATAAGGATAGCCATTTTACCTTCTTGAGATCTCTTATAGAACATAGTATGGTCTACTTGACTACGATAATATCCACGGCCTTTCACTACTCTCCCAAACCTATCAAACTAAGCCCTAGGAGACTATTTCAAGTCGTATAGAGATTTCTTTAGTTTGCATACTTTATTTGGCCCATAAACACCTTCAAATCCTAGAGGATGACTCGTGAACACTTCTTCTTCTAGGTCTCCATTTAGGAATGCGTTTTTCACATCTAGTTGGTGTAGGCCCCAATCCGGATTCATAGCCAAGGACAAGAGAACTCTAATTGTGTTGATCTTAGCCACGGGAGCAAAGGTCTCCCGATAATCAACCTCATATGTATGTGTGAACCCTTTAGCTATCAGCCTCACTTTCCTTCTTTCAACACCGCCATCTGCTCTAAACTTGACTATAAACAACCATTTACACCTAACCAATTTATGCGTTTTAGGAGAATTGACAAGATCTCATGTTCCATTCTTTTTTCAAGAGCTCGAATCTCCTCCATTACCGCAGCTTTCCAGTCTAGATCATTTAGTGCCTTTTAGATATCTCTTAGGATAAATAGGTTAGTAACCTTAGACACATAGGAGCTATGAGTTTGCGACGACTTACTATGTGACACATGCTTGGAAAGAGGGTGATTAATGCAAGACCTTTTTCCTTTTCTAAGAGCTATAGGCAAATAAAGGTCAGCAAAAGGATCATCAAATTTATTAACATGATTAGGAATAGAAATGGGATCAGAGTTAACAACAAGCATAATAGTCATTAACGGATTTATTAGGTTCATTCTACGAAAAGTTAGATTGGCTCGAGTGTTTTCCACTATCGGATCAATCATAATCCGATCCGGTTGTGCATGAACTTCGCTCTTATATTGATGTTTCCTTTTTGAATAAACCAAAAGCTCTTTATTTCGCTCTTTAAGAGCATTTTGTAGTGTTTCTCCCTCTTTCATAGGATTACCATCACCTTACACATTTAGTTTTTTAGTTTCTATGTGGTTAGGCTTTTCGAAATACTTTCCGCAATAACGAAGGTAATGGGACGGATATATCCTAAAAATTTCCTTTCTCCTCTATACTATTACTATTTATCTCCCCTGAAGGAAACATTTTTGGTTTTTAAGAAAGTAACATCCATTGAGAATACAGTTTTCCTAGTTTTAGCGTTGTAGCACCTATAACCTTTCTTATCGAAGCATACGCCGTAAACACATATTTTTTAGCTCTTAGGTCAAGTTTGGATGAACCTTTAGAATGGACGTATGTAATGCAACTAAAAACTTTAAGAGAAAGGTTTAAATGTAATATGTTGTTAGGAAAGCATTTTTTAAACATGTTAAGGAGGGTTTCAAAGTTTAGGATTCTATTTGGCATTTTATTAATAAGATATGTAGTCATTAAAACAAGCATCACCTCGGAGATACTTAGGAACATTCATAGCAAACATAAGGGCACGTGCAACTTCAAGTAGGTGTTTATTCTTTCTCTTAGTAATTCCATTTTCGCTGAGGGGTATTAACACATGTTGATTGCTGCACAATACCTTTTTCTCTTAAAAAACTTTCCAAAACTTCATTCATGTATTTGATGCCATTGTTAGAATGTAAAATGCTAATTTTTGTTTGAAATTGAGTTTCAACCATTTTGTAAAAGTTTTGGAACAATTGACAAACTTCAAATCTTTCATTCATTAGATAAACCCAACATAGTCTTGTATGGTCATCTATAAAAGTTACAAACTATTTTTTCTCGGAATTGGTTTTGATCCTAGAAGGACCCCAAACATCACTCGTGAATTAATGAAAAAGGTTTTGAAGGCATATAAGATTTCAAAGGATAATTGCTTTTATAACTTTTTGCCAAAATACAATGTTCACAAACAAGATTTGAGCAATCCACATTTTTAAACAAATTAGGCAATAATTTTTTAAGATAACTAAAATTAGGATGACCTAATCTATAATGCCGGAGGAGGATTTGATCCTTAACGGAGACAAAACTAACACTACTAACTCCAAGAGCTTTTTTATTCTCAAATTAATCATCAACAAAATAATAGAGTCCACCTTTTTGTTCAAGACTCGCCAATCATCTTCCCCAAAGACTCGTTCCTAAAAGACACAATAGGAATCAAAGAAAGTGACGAACAATTAGAATCTTGGGCAAGTTTGCTCACGGATAAGAGATTATAAGCAAGTTTAGGCACATGAAAAATACACTCTAAACAAATAGAAAGAGACGAAACACCGAACCTTTACTAGCAATAGGTGAAAATGAGCCACCTATAATACGAATTTTCTCATGACCGAATAAGGTTTATAGGAATGAAATAAGTTAGCAAGGCTGGTCATATGATCGGAGGCTCCAGAATCAATTATCTAAGGAATAGAGTTAGTAGGATAGAAACAAGAGAATGCATTACTACCCGATTAAGCAACAGAGGCATTAGAGGCACTAGATGATTCGGACTTGGGCTTTAATAGCTTCGAATATAAATGAGTTGTTCATGATCGAAAGGTCCAGACTTCGACCTCATGAACAGAGGGAATTTTGGTATATTTCCCTTCATGTGAATCCTTCCAATTGGTAGGCTTTTCATGTAATTTCTAGCAAGTCTCACGCGTATGGTGGGATTTGTTACAATAATCACATCATACTTTACCCTTATCCTCGACCTTCTTTCCACAACCTCCAACATTACCAAGAGCTAGTGTTGAATTTTCAATTGTAGGAATTATAGACTTCTCGCCTAACATTACCTAACGCATGCTTTCCTCTTGTGGACCTCAAGCAAACACCTCACCCAATGGAGGGTAGGGGTTGCCTTCCAATAATCTTGCCTCTCACCTCATCAAATTCCACATTTAGACCGACTAGGAATTTAAAAATCCTACTCGTCCTCTATTGTCTTCCTATAGTGATTAAAGTCTTCAATAGACTTTCATTCATAGTCATTGAATAAATCTAGGCCTTGCCATAGGTGCTTAACGATATTAAAGTATTTAGTGACATGGTTCTCACCTTGGAGTATCTCTACCAACTTCGTGGTCGGTTCATAAACTTGTGATTGATTTCCAAGGTCGAATACATTTGGGTTACATTCTCTCACAACTCCTTTGCAGTATGGAAGCACATGTAGTTAGAGCTAATTTCTTCCTCTATACATTTGACTAACCACGTCATAACCATAGAGTTTTCTACATCTCACACTCCGTGAGTTGGATCACTAATGCAAGCTCATTCCTTTCTCTTGTTAAGTAGCCAATCTTCCCTCTTCCTTTGATATACATGCGTACGGATTGTGACCAGCGAAGGAAGTTATCTCCATTCAAGCAAATGGTTATGATTTGGATTGAGAAAGACTTAGAAGATGGAAGGTGGGTATGGTGAGTAGGAGGATTAGAGGATCGAAGGTGGGCATTTTGAGTAGGAAGATTAGAGGATTGAAAGTGGGTATATTGAATAGGAGGATTAGGGGATTCGATAATGTCGGACATAATTGACATAATTGTAGACAACTAAGATGGCTAGGATTTTATATTGTCCAGGATAACTTTGATACCATATAGGAAAAATAGAGAATTATGGAAGAATGCATGTTAGAGTGTAATTCTTCTATATTTTCTTGAGTACTACGATAGGTATATAACTATAATAGGAAACTACAACTATACGGAATATGTTAATTGGCTAATTTACAAGACATAGCCTAGTCGATTTCCGGGACTAATTTTAGAAGGGTAATTGTCCTAGTTGACTTTTCCTAATTTGAATTTACCAACACATTGAAATTGTATTTCATCTAGGATATTCACGTAAATGTCGGGAATGAAACGAACACTATCTATACCTATTAATTTGTTGGAACCAAGGTGAAAGCTCGAAGCATTATCAAGTTGCTAATTTCTAAAGGTATACTTCATGAGAACTCATTATAAATTAAGGATATGATTTTAAGTTTCCTGCACATGCCTAAACTAGGTAGAACTCGGACCTTGCTCGTTGATTCTTGGAAAGATAAAGTTCTTTGAGATTTGGCGGATGGTAGCACATATCCTCTAGCAAACCGCTCGATAAGTTATTCTTTGATAAACCAATTCCTTACAAATACGATATTTTAAAGATGGTAGATGGAATTCTCCCTTTTAGGCCACTCGCAACTAAGGAAAATATTTCCGATCCATGAAGATTACCTATCTCCATTGGAATTTTACCTACAAAATCATTAAACCAAACATTAGGTAGGATCTAATATGGAACTCAACACCAATGTATAAATCTTGAGGTGTATAATATGTTTGAGATTGATAAATCCAGTAAATGATTATGCCAAAACAAATTCCATAAACTTTAGATTTTCCTTCAGTTATTTCATACCAAATAAAAATGATTCTCTAATTAACATGTTAAAAAATAAGCAAAGTGTCACGGATAGAAATTTTTGGATACCGATTACAAATATTCCAAATTGAACTAATTTATGGTTGTCCTTGAGGCCCCTTAATGAATAGCTAGCTTTTTGTTATCCAATATGAACATATTTTCTCGCCCACATTCATAGCCCTATTTGTTTATATAAGTACAAAAAGGAGGTCAAAAATCTTGTCTAGACTATATTCTAGATAAAATTATGGCAAGCTTTAGTTTACTTGTAACTCAACCAAGTTGTTGTTTTGGAAAGGTGCCATTAGAGACTCCAAGCTGAAACTATTGACTAAATTTTTAGAAATGATTCTAGAAAGGGAAAAGTACTAATTCGATAGAAACAAATTCTAGCCACAAGTCGCATAAGTGAGGGAAAAAAAAGAAAGGCAGGAGATTAGTACTCGACATATTAGTATTGCCAGAAGTAATAGCTTAAGCATAGTCAAGTTCCCTATTTCTCTTGATATGTTTCCTGTGAATGGATTATAGAACATGGATAAGCTTTCAAGAGCTTTACACTTGTACAAACTTGATGGAACTCGACCACTTAGTAGATTGGAAGAGAGATTGATTCTCTTAAGAAGAGGAACGTTATAAGCACATATCGGTTGGAAGACTACCAACCAACTTATTAAATGATAGATCAATAAATTACAAATAAGACATATTGTTGAAAATAGTTGATGGTACTAAACCACTCACTCGATTATATCTAAGTGATAGAACCTCCAATGTAGAAACATCACCCAATTTTGAAGGCACCATTCCCGTAAAATTGTTTTCTTTGCAAAACAAGTATCCTAAAATGCGATAACCACCCTAGTTCATCGAGAAAACGTCTATGGAAACTATTGTTTTTGATGTCAAAAGTGGTGAGTGATGTGGACCATAAGGCTTGGGAATTCATGAAACAAGTATGAGCATGGCGTAAGTCGAAGAAAAACACTCGTTGGCCTAATTTCGAGGTTTTTTAGCTTGATTCGATGCCAAACAGGCTAACGAACAAAACTCATGGGGCTATGCCAATGATGTTGGGGTATTTTAGCCAAAAAAAATAGTTTAGGCCTTCAAAATTGCAATTTACTATTTCCTGCGAGATTTTTAGTTAATTTCGGGATTTTCCTAATTAATTTTGGATTTTTAGTATTTGTTTCCTTTTTAAATTACTTTAGGGTTTTGACCTAACGTTTACTATTTATGTAAGACTTCTAGGCTGAAAAACGTCACCTTTTCTTGATTAATAAACTTTTGTGAGAGAGTATCTCAATTTTTTTTCAATTGTCGACATTCTTTGAATCAACAAAATTGAAGCCTATTCTCCGGTATTTGTGTGCAAATCAACGAGTTATAGTAGATCGGCATCCGAATATCATATCAAAGTATTTATTTTTCTTTCTTGTGAGTTTTTGTTACATCGATAAGGAAGGAAAGGTTTCTAATAAATGGTGGAATAGTACCAAAAAGCCTCATGTTCGAAAGATTCAAGGTCGTAACCCTTTGGTGTTGACAAGTATTAATACTATTGCCACAAGTGACACCAAACCGATTGCAGAAATGCGTTGTCGAAGACCAATTTGCCGGGACATTTTGAGGGTCTAATGTTATATGGGCTTTGAAAACAAGAAGTGTCGATAAATCGAGCGCACACCACCTTGTGCTTAATTAATTAGAAAAGAAAGTAGGAGTGATACTATTCAAACTCGCGATTATTTGATCATCAAGGTTCTCATACCATGTTAAAGGATCCACAATCGCACTTAATAGCTTAAATTGTTAAATGAGATCCTAGGACATATTTATATTATTTTTTAACACATATCAAGCATAACAAAAATTAAAATGGATGGTTATTTCATCTCCATCTCTCCCAAAATAAATAAATAAATAAAGAGAGATAGAGAAAGAGAGTATGCTCTAAGCTAACATATATTTATATGAATATGTACATTTTCTTTCTTTTAAAGAGGTTCACAGATTTTTATTTTACTTTTTATTTCTTTTTAGTGCAAAGCAATAGATTTTCTTCTTATGAAAAAGCAAAGTCAACGAACGTGAGCTGAATGCAGCTATAAATGTCTAGCTTGTTAATCTCTTTTATTCATAAATATTTTTATTTATAGTTTTTAATCAAGGAAGATTAAAAAAACGACCACAGTCGTGTATAATATTAAAATAAAAAAATAAAAAATATTTTGAAATTATTATAAAACAAAATGAATGTTCTCTGCCTCTATCTCTATTTGCTTGTTAAAGAAAGAATACCCTCGCATCCGTAGCGATCCTCATTTACTTACCCGAGAGAAAATGCCTCAATGTGCGGTCCATTTAGTCGGATTTTATCATACAATTCTGTAATCTCAACCATAGCTAAACCGGGCCATCCTAAGTATACAGTAGCCCAAACTCAATGGGCCAACTAACCCAAAAAAGAAAAGAAAAGAAAAAAAACTAAAAAACTTTGCTACGTGTATAACGTGACACTATTTATTTAACCACAAAATAATAAAAATAAAATGAATTAAAAAAGCAGCGGAGCAAGAAATTTCGATAGAAGGGAAATACCAATCACTTTCGCGTGGCTGTGGGTCTTTCTTTATTACTTACCAACAAGGATCCTTTCTTCCTTCCTCTGCCTTTACTTTGTTTTTTTCTCTACCTTTGATCCCTTCCTTCTTTTGTTTTCTACGCCTAATATTCTCTCTCTCTCGAGATCAAAATCAAAATCATCTTTAAATTTCTTGATCTGTTTTATTTTTTTTATTTTTAATAAATCACTACCGACATGGCCACCACTGGGAACAAGAATATCAATGCTAAACTGGTGAGTTTTTTTTAAGCTTCTTTTTTCATTTTTTTTTTTATAATTGCTATCTGGTCTGGTTTAATTTTGGTGAATTTTGATTGCATTATTGGTTAGGTAGGTATTTGTTTATTTTTTTTTATGCAATTTCTGTTGTGGGTTTTGTTTGGTTTTTGAAATTTTGATATGAGTTTCTTTAATTTTCAGCAAATTCTGATGTAATTTTGATCTGGGTTTTTTTTAGTTTTTAGTTTTTGAGATTGCAATTGATCTTTGTCTCTGTTGTTTGTGTGGCCTATGCAAATTCTGTGCTGTTATGTTTCGATTTTGAGGACTGATTTAGCTCATGTTTTGTGTGTTCTCTGTTGTGGGTTTCCTATAAACTTAAGGATCTTCTGTGGATTTGTTTAATTTTGATCACTTGGCACTGTTTTGGGTTAATAAAATTTACATGTACAACTTAAGTAAGCTAAGTCTTGATGTTATCTACTACATGTGAAAGCGTGTTTCTGACATTCAACTGCCGTTTGTATTCTGCTAATTTATTGTGTCTTTAGTCTGATGAATCAAGTGGGATTCTTGAATTAGGTTACTGGTTTTATGAATTGGTTTTGTAGCATTGTTCATCTGCAAATATTACATGTTTAGTACTTGCTTTGTGAGTCCGAGATTGGAGACTTGTAATGGGTTCATTTCTGAGTCCGATGTGTGCTGTCTGTCATTTGTGTCTGGATTTTTGCTTATACATAATTTGTAACTTGCCTTTCCTTGCTTTTGTGTAGCTAAATTTAAGGTGGCTGTGTTTCTCCATGGCAGCAGTTTGACTTTTTTTGGCAGTTATTTTGAATACACCACGGATGTTTTTTGCAATTTAATATTTGGTTGACTGGTTGTTTTGTGCTTCAGGTGCTTCTTGGAGATGTTGGTGCAGGAAAGTCCAGTCTTGTATTGCGTTTTGTTAAAGGACAGTTTGTTGAGTTTCAGGTTGGTGTACTGATGGACTTTAGGGGGGTTATGACATTGGAAGCATAATTTATCCTGTTTGATTTTGGAGCTTGACTTTTGTTGTATATATGTTATTGTAGGAATCAACCATAGGTGCTGCGTTTTTCTCCCAGACATTGGCTGTCAATGATGCAACTATAAAATTTGAGATTTGGGACACAGCAGGTCAGGAGAGATACCACAGCTTGGCTCCAATGTACTACAGGGGAGCTGCTGCAGCAATTATAGTGTATGATATATCTAATCAGGTAAGCAAGGTTGCTAAATACCCAAATCCATTGTATGCCATTTCCCTCTAGGCAACACTTGCATTTTAAAAATAGTTATTAAGATTGAGTTTTTATTATATGAAGGCTACCATTTTTTATGTTGCTAATGTTGCATCAAGCCTATCGTTTTAATTGTTGAAGTGATTTGTGCAGTGTGCTTCTGCTGCTTTCTTTTATAATATCAGAGCTACCAAACTCATTGTTTAAGTTAGTTGTATACTTTCTTGTAATTATATCAAGGCTACTGATTTTCTTTGTCATATGTGTGTGCACTGGAGAGACAAGTTTGTAGTATGTCTGCATGCGGTGTGTTTAAATTTTTTTCTGCTATTGAAAAAATTGATTCCATCCATAATTCATGTTTTCCAATTTTTGAGAATAGATGAAAGATATCCAGATTGTATCATCATTCACGGTGATCTATCTTTAACTAGACATATGACAAGTGCTATGGTGCATTTTCCTTGGTAGTTACCTCATGCTAAGATATCTTTCTCTCCCCATTCAGTTATCTCTAGTTAAAATCCCAGTTATACAAAAGTCGCCCTTCAGTTTTTTATATATGACATTAACATATCTCAGATAATACATAAAACTCAAATTTGTTTGGGTGTTTACTTGTCAGCCAGTCTATGCTATTTCTATGCTGTTTTCATGCACTGTGGCTTATGTTCCTCCTCCCCGAGTGCCAGGGCCTGGCCTGCTCTCCAACTGGCTGGAAGATCTTTCTCTTCCATATTTTCTTCTTGTTTCTCCCTCCCTTGCAAGGATATCTGTCCCTTCTAATTTTTTCTTCTTGTTCCTTATCAAAGCTGTTCTAGTTTTTCGAAAACAAAGAATCAATGTCGGTTCTGTTCCAAAACTCAAAAAACTGAGACATTGATCATCAAGAAATGAATGGAATATTCCATGGAAGTGCTTTTTTGCTTGACCAATTTAGAAAGTTTGCAGAGCGGTCTAGAAATTTAATGGTTGTTAGGAATGGTTCCTTTCATGTAAGATTTTTGGCTGAAAAAGATGACTGGCACAACTTTATTTAAATTATTTTGCTAAGATGGTTGATTTCATGTGGTCACTAAAATTCCAATGCTTGACCTTTTGTAGGCCTCATTTGAGCGAGCGAAAAAATGGGTTCAAGAACTTCAGGCTCAAGGTAGTGTTTACATTTTTGGTTGTATGAATGTGAATTTGGCTGTTTTTAATAGCCTTTTTCATGTTGCGTTCTTGAGTCCTGTTCCTAATAGTACTGTTCAACTACATTAGTTTTTCTTGAACTATATTCTATCCCTTTCTTTTCTTTTCTTCTGTTCCCAAAAATCCTTAACCACCATGTTCTGCTTGTTTCACTAGGCAACCCAAATATGGTTATGGCACTTGCGGGGAACAAAGCTGATTTGCTAGATTCAAGGAAGGTTGCTGCTGAGGCAAGTAGCTCTTTTTCTTCAATCGTAACTTCTTACTAGTTGGTTTTATATCTTTCCAGTGGTTCCCTTAGATCATGAAAGGTATAGCAGCTTATTGTCAAGCATATATGAAATTGAAAAGAAGTCAAGAGTAAACTTTTATGTCCTTGGTTATTTTGAGGTGATACAGACAAAGTAAACTAATCCTTAAAGATCCTTTTTGGTAGAGATGACACAGGAGAAGTTAGTAACAATCAGTTCTCTTTTTTTCAGTCCTTGTAATAATTTATTAGATAAGTTTCTCCTTTTACATAAATAATACCATAGCAGGAAGCACTCAGAGATCTACTTGAAAATCTTCACTTTGAGAAAAAAATTTCATGCAGGAAGAAATGTTATACAGTGACACATATGTTAATCTTTTCTTTATTTGTATATTTTGTGTTTTCCATTAAAAGACTTTCTCATAACATTTTCCTCTGAAGATGTCTGCTGATCTGCAATCGTCAAACGATTCAGGATCTAACAGCTATCTCTATGTTTAGACTTTGGACCGTCCATGAATGTTTGCTGCTTTCTGTTTGTGTTAAAAGAAAATTGTTATCAAGTCATTCGTTAATGCACTGCAGGAAGCACAAGTTTATGCTCAGGAGAATGGCCTTTTCTTTATGGAAACCTCAGCAAAAACTGCAACCAATGTCAATGACATTTTCTATGAAATAGGTATGCTATCACTGTGGATAGAAGGTCTAAAATTTTGTTGGTTGACCAAAGAAAACATAAGGCCTAAATTGTTTCAAAAGTGAGTTCAACATTTTTCTTTATGTATATATGAAATTAATCTTGGGTATGAATGATGGACTAGAACATTTTGCTCAAAACTCAACAAACATCTGATCATACTGGACCATTTAGTAGCTCTTATGTTCATGCACATCTACTATCTCTTTTCAAGAAATTGATGGTGATTGTTTTGGGTTTCTGTCCATTCTATTTGCAGCAAAAAGACTACCTCGATTGCAGCCAGCACCAAACCCTTCTGGAATGGTTATTATGGATAGACCTACAGAAAGGACAGCAAGCGCATCTTGCTGCTCCTAAATACCCGAGTGGCAGCGATATTGTTGCATGTCTGTATCTTCTTAGTAGTGCTCGTGATGCTCACTAGAAATTTATGTTTGATACTCTCTGGTTCGTTTGTGTATTTACTCGTTAAGAATTTGTTAAAAAATGTACATGAACCGCTTCCTTTTCAACCAGTGAAATGGAATTGTAGTGGCTTCTTGTGTAATGAAATGGCGTGGCATTTTATTTCACTAGTCTCCAATGTATTTTACTTAGCAGATTCATTTCTTGTGATGTAAAATTGCAGTAATTTTGTATTCTCGTAAGATGATGACTCATTGCGTTATTAAGCTTCCACACCAATTTTTGTGCGAGTAAATTATAATTAGTGGTTCTAGTTTTGAGAAACGAGTAAATTATAATTAGTGGTTCTAGTTTTGAGAAACGAGTAAATTGATATTTCTTGTTTTAAAACTAATTATGTTATTTTTAAAAGAAACTAAAAGAGTTTGGGATTTTGGACTCTGATTTTCAGTATGCATCTCCTTATGTATCACTGTTCACAAATTGTGGATAGAGTTTTTGTGATTTTTTTTATTGTTTTTGGATATTTATATTCAAAGTTTACATTATATTTCATTTTGATCCTAGAGTTGTTTCCACCTTTTTGCCTGCCTTCTCTCTCTCTCTCTCTCTTTGTTTCTTTTTTTTATTCTTTGTTTTTTTCCCACTAATTTATGTTTTCTTTTAATTATTGAAGTGGACATCGAAATTATGAAAAATTAATTGTTATTTTTTCTCTCTTTTTTTTGTTTTTTTCATCAATTTATGTTTTTTTTATTATTATTGAATTAGATGTGAAAATTATGAAAAATCAATCATTATTTTTTTCACACAATTTGACGATTATGAAATATATATTATATATTTTTAGATTTTAGAATATATATATCGAATTATATTATTTTATTATTTAAAATTGATTCGTTCAATTTGTCCTTTTTTTATAAAAATTCTGATTAAAAGAAAATTTTTTATTCTTATTTTTTATGTAATTTTATTTTTTGGTAAATATGATTTATTTTCTCTAATGTATTGATTTTCGAATAAGTGTTTTTTTTTTTTTTTTTTGCTTATGTTTTATATAATCAAATTTTGAAAATAGAATTCACATGTTTTATTAACTTATTTTTTATATAATCAAATTTTTTCGAAATTATTTTGTATTTTTTTTATTGCATTATACTAACTTCAATATATTTTTTATAACTTATTTTTTTAAAAAAATCAGTTAATACTACACCCTCCGACCCAATGAGTACGGTTATGATATATAAATATTAGAGTTATTGATTTTATTGAAAATTAACTATTCATATATGCTTATAACGTAAAACATTTGTTATTATTTTTTTATATTTTAAAATTATTTTTTAAAAAAATAATTAAAATAATAATTTAAAAGAACTACATAATAATTTTGATATAATTTTTATACTAATATTATATATATCAAATCAAATGTACGTATTTTCAAAAAAAAAAAAAACTCTTCTCATCAGTATTAAACAAGAATAAGAAAAGATTTATTTGTTAATTTTTATACATGTTTTTATATTAATTGTTATTTTATTTTTTTGATACAATATTATGAAAAAATATTAAAATAATTTTAAAAATTTTATATTTAGATTATTACAAGTTTTTATTTAAGAATAAATACATAAAAAAATATAGTGTTTTTTTTTACTTCAAATTTTATTAAAAAAATAAACAAAAAATACATCAAAAATTGCTAAAAAATTATAAAATTAGATTAAATTATATCTTTAATTTAATATATCTTTGTTAACCAACATTATAGTATATATTATTAAATTAAAATAAATATGTTTAGTTCAACTCTGTAGCGTAACACGGAAGCCAACTAGTTTTATCTATTTAATCTATTATTATTATTATTATTATTAAGTTTTTTAAGAAAATTCTAAAATATCTTATGTTATTAAATTGCAATAATTTCTTAAATTAATTTTATTAATTTTATCTGACACACAGCTTAACATTGATAAACATCTAGTTGGCTCTACATTTTGTGTCATTTCCAAGAGGAAATGGCAAATTATTCATAGCTGTTAAAACAAGTGCGGCTTGACTCCGTAATGGAAATAGTTGCATTTGAGACTTGAAGTTTCTGTTGGTGGCCAATTCAACATGAGTAGGTGCCTGTGTCAAGGTCTTTGGGTTCTAGAAGACATTGAAGAAGGTCCTGAATTCTTTAAGATTGAAGGTTAGTATGTTGGTCTACACTGCATTTTTCTCATGTTTGCGGTTTAATGCTCAAGATATTCTCGGATTATTATTTTTTTTCCAAATATTATCATCCTAAATTAGAGATGAAATTAATTATTTTTAAAACAAAAATAATAAAGTTTAATCATTTTCAATAAGTAGAATTCAAACTCTATATATTGATAAAAAAAATTATCTAACCATCAATTCATTTATCATTAAATCAATAACTTATTCAAATCAATTTTTACATATTAAACGAGATTAAATTAGTAATACTTACAATTTTAGGTGCAACAGCAAGCTCTTTTCTTTACTTTATTTGTTTATTTTTTTTATGGATTTGGTGTTTGCTTTCTAAACGCCGGCTGTCATGACGATGGGCTCTTGTCTCTTTCTCTCTTGAAGAGATGATGGGACCATACATGTCAATTGGAGAGATGATTATTATATTAATTAAACTATAGAAAAAAATTTGTAAAATTTTGACGGGATCTGTAAATTCATGCAAACATAAAACTTGTGGCACCTACCCTATATAAGCCTACTCTTATGGTCAGTCGCAGCCCTCTGACCTAACGGTGGAGACATATTCAGGGTCATCTAGTGCATTACCAACGGCCTTTCAGCAAAAATAATAATAATAAATAAATAATAATAAATGGCAAAAATTTTGCTCTTTTTGTGGAAAGGTATAGTGAAAATGCCTTCATTGTGTTGAGATGATCAATGCCTTCGACGGCTTTTGCCCCTGTTTGAACAATATGTGGCAAAATAAAATTCGAATGGTCCACATGGTTTTATATGATCATGTGTTTTACCACACATAAGTTTGCTCTCTAAATATAATTACTTTTTGCCCTTAATTCTTAAAAAAAAAAAAAAAAACAGAGAATTACACTAGCAATCATTTTTACCAGCTACGTACAGAAGGAGGAAATCCGGTCATTACATCCGTTTAAAACACAACTAAAGAAATCGTATCACTTCAAATTTATATACATCAAAATTAGATAATTTTACTACCAAAATCAGAAAACATGTGAATTTAAAAATATAAAATTCAATATTACTCTAAAATAGTTGTTTACGAATCATTTTTAAAGTTTGGTTTGTGTTTACGAGGTTTTGAGGAGTTTGAGTATGTGTTTTTTAGGAAATAAATAAATAAATTTTTGGCGGTGGCTAGTTGTATTTGCCGAAATCCGGTAGAAAATTCTAGATTTTGAGACATTTTACAGAACTCGGCGAACAACGGTCAAGACGCAATTTGGTTTTAGAACTTTCGTCTGCTATAGTTTTACATTTTGTTCATTGTGGTCCTTAAACTTTCAATTGCTTTCATTAACTTCTTAATCTAAGTTTTAACGTTTTCAAAATTTATTGTTGTGAGTGCCATATTTATGCTTTTTTTTATTGTTTATGATATAGGTTGATTTGAAGTTATTCTTATAAAGTTTGGGATAGTTTAGCTTTTATGATGATCTGAAGATGATTTTGATTTGGTTTTTGGTTGATTTTCTGGTATATATTAGATATTTTTATTTTAAAATAATAACTATGTTTTATAATTTTATATTATAATATCATTTTCAATTTATTTTATATTTATTTATAGCTTCTTTTTAAAAATAAGTTTGTTTAATGATTTTAATTTTCAACTTTGGTTGTTTTATGTAAGTTACTATATTTCCTAGACACGTAATTTTTTTTTTTTTTAACTAGTTTAATATATGCTCGCAATTTGAAATTTAATCATGGCTTTAATTATAGATTTTTACATAACCACATTGTCATCCAATTGCATACAAATTATCACACCACTTTCTTGAATGTAAAATTTGATTTTAAAACCTATCTTAAACTATGAAATATTTATTAATATCTTTTTTGTTTAAATCGACTATTAATAATAATATCCATCTTATATTATTTTGTATTTTAATAAAAGTAATTATTTTAATTAATAAATATTAATATTATTTTGCTTGAAATGATAGAAATTATTTTAATTAATAAATATTAATTTGCTTGAAATGATAGAATGTGATATATAATATCTTTTATGTATTTATAAGATGATATCAAAAAATAATTGAAGAAAAAGTATGAAAATGTAAGATAAAATGTTACCTATTTTGACATCTATAAATTCGTTAAGATGCTCGAAACAACCTAAACTTTACAAATATCATTTCAGATAAACCATACATAATAATAATAATAATAAAAGCATAAACACGACACATACAATAATCAATTTTACATTGGGAATGTAAAATTTTAGATTAAAAAGTTATTTGAAGCAATCGAAAGTTTGAGAATCATGAAGTTTAGAGACCAACTGCATTTTGTTTGTTGATTGTCGAATTCTGGGAATTATGGGATCCCGAATCCCAGCCAAATGCTATCTGCCACCCTCAAAATTTATTTATTTATTTATTTTTATTTTTATTTTTAATAAAAAAAAACATCTGCACACTACTCAAAACCTCCTAAACTCAAATCAAATCTTAAAAATCATTTCTTACCAACTATTTTATACCAAAATTCAATTTCATACTTCTTAGATTTAAAACTTTGAAATTACATATTTCCTAATTTTTTGTGACGAAATAGTTTAACTTACACTTCTATAAATTTCTTATGAAAAGAATTTTTTTACGTGTTTTGACCATTATTGCGGATGGATTTTCCAACTATGGCCAGATTTCAGTGTTAGTTTTCTATATGTTTCTCTCTCTCTCTCTCTTTTTAAAAAAAAGATAATATAGTGATTGATATCAGAGAGCAAACTCGTAATACCATAAGTTATATAAATCCTTAAACTCGTGTTTGACACATGTCACTTTTAGGATGGCAAAGGCATGGAAGGATATCGATCTTCACCTTCACAACATGATACAGACACTCTAGAAGGATGCAAGAAGAAGAGACTATTGGCTCTACATTTTGTGTCATTTCCAAGAGGAAATAGCAAACTATTCATAGCTGTTAAAACAAGTGCGGCTTGATTTCCTGATGGAAATAGTTGCATGTGAGACTTGAAGTTTCCGCTGATGGGCAATTCAATTTCTAGAAAATCAAGTATATCTAACCATGTTTGCAAGAGGAATCAATATACCAGCACTATCATAACATAAGACAGGTGACTTAACTAGCAACTACTTGATCAAATATTAGTTGAAGAAGATTCCTCTATTCTTTTTCTATTTTTGAGGGAAAGATTCTTCAGATTTTCAGCTTCTTCTTTTACATGCTTCATTAATTTGCAAATGCATTATCACATTCTGACACCATTATACCCATTAATCAAAGAAAATATAGCTTGATAAAGTTTCTCCACTTCAATTTGTTCCTCTTGTCCAAAGCAAAGAGAATATAACCAACTCATTTCTTAATCAGTTCAAAAGCTTAAAACCTTACAGCATGATAATCTAGTTTGTTCACTTAGGAAAGTACAAATTTTATTCAACAAAAGCAAGTGGCAAAGTACAGTACTTTAATTTATTTAAGCAACCAACTGCATGCACCATTGGCAACTGCCAGAACCACCATTAACTGCCACCTGATTAGTTCTTGTGAAGCCCTTGAGAAGATGCAGCTGAAGCACAGTCCATTGTTTGAAACCCAATCCTCTCTTTCTCCAGGTCATAGACAACCTCCACGTTTTGCTGTTGGAAGCTCCCAAAAACCCCAGCTGGTCCATAATCACCATCATCCATGCTTTGGAACAATAGGCATTTGATAACACTAGAGTTTCTTGGGGCGCTCATAGCATAGAAGTGATTTCCTTGGGGCAGAACTAGACTCACTTTGTTCAAGAAATGGAAAGTGATTGGAGGAAGGAGATTATCATCCGTGAGACTGCTATTGTTTGGACACGGGACCTTATAACAAAGATCGAACCCGGTTCTCGTCTCCACGTCAGAGGCTCTAGGATAATTTATCGTTGATTGAAGAATAGAGAGAACCTGAGAATAGAAAGGCTGAGGTAGGTGAGTATAAGTGGTTCCTGAGTCAATCAACATGCCCCCATTACCTTGTGAATCAAACTCCCTCAAGCTTGAAGGCGCTTCAGTTGCTCTAACATTGCCTACAGTTATGGCCTCTAGACCAATGTAGTAGTAATCAGGGTACATGGGATTGTTCAACATTGGAGTGAATTGCATACCATCTTTATTAGAAGTAAGGGCAATATCTCCTATAACTAATGGGCTTGAAATATTAGGGTTGTTTGCATATTTGAAGGCCAAGAAGCAATGTGAGAAGCCCTTTCGAAGAAACCCTAGTTGTGAAGGCAAAGAGAGTGCGCCCCTACCAAACCCTGCAATCCCAATAGGCTCCCTATATGCAGACCCAACACAACCAAAACAGAATTTTGGGATTTCCTTAGTGACACCAGGGCTACTTCCATGAACCCTAAGTGTATCCCTAGTTAGTAACCCAGTGACAGCGCCTGCACCATATGTGTAAGCAAATGAAGGACATGGCCTATAACATGTGGCTTTAACAAGGGTACTCAATGAGCATCCAGCAATAGTGCATGGATCAAAAGGGTTGTCAGAACTATGAATATTAATGCAGAAGGGACTAGCACAAGTGTCCCTATATGACGAAGAAGAATAAGAAGGAGAAAAGGCAGCCATTATCCTATTGTTCTTATAATCATCACAATCAATGCAATCAAAAGAAAGGTTTCCACAAGGAACCCAAGTAAGGTCACTCCCAGTATCCATGTACACTTGAATGACTTGTGGGGGTGTGCCTATATTTATAGACATCAAATAACCATCTCTTACTTCCCTCAATGGCTCTATCATGTCCAAAACATCTGTTGGTAGGATCTTTTTTGAAGAAGTGGAAGCTTTTGGATGAGTTGGAAGGGAAGCCCTAGAAGCTGGGGTAAGACCAAGAACGAGTGAATTAGGGTTTCTTGGCCTTGCTAGGGACTGAATTGCATAGAAGTGTAGAGTATTGAGTAGGAGAAAGAAAAGAAATGTGGTGATTTTGTTGAGTAATGTGGCCATTGTTACCTCTTTGGTTGTGTTTTGGGATGGAGGTCTAGGTTTATGGGGGTATCTATTTATAAGCTGAAGCAAAATCAAGGGTTTTTCTTGAGGTCTAGAAGAAGCTAACAGATGTTTCATGGCCAAGAAGGCTAGGGTTTTCAGTGGAGGCCGGCCGGTGTGTCTGTGCCGCATGAGAGAAGGAACTAAATAAAATAAAACGAAATACATTTTTTTTTTTAAGAAAAAAACTAAAATAAATTATAAGATGCATGTATAGCTAGAATACTTGATCAATTTGCATGCATATTACTAAAAATAGAAGCAAAAGATGGCAAACGGCATTCTCTGAAAGGATAAAATTTGCACCTGAAAATAAAATAAAATTAGGTGTAGAAAATTAATGAAGGCATGCTTTGTATAAAATAAAATAGTGGTATATTTTGTTCTTGTGAAGTAAAGAAATTTATATAAAAATACATGTGATGAGGATACCATGTTTTCATGAGTTTTCATATCATCATGCGCGCACAACGAACAAACTTTATACCTAGCAAGGTGGACAATCACGTGCATACCACGTGTCATACATAGTTGGAAAATGTGTACAAAATTAGTTATGTTTTCAACTTATATAGAAGTTGGATTTATATCAAAGTATGAATAATTTTCGAAGTTTATATATATATATATATAGTTTATTTTGAAAGAACTGGCGAATCTTGATAATTTCAGTGTACTTCTATAATATAATAAATAAGACGTCTTTTTTCAAAAAAACAGTTTCTTAAATTTGTGAATTCAAATTGGTTATACGAATATTAATCATGACATTTTCAATTGTGATCTCAAACAATGGTTAACTGTGAATGTTTTCATGTGTTTTTATATTGAAAACAAAATTAAAGAATATATTTGTATTTACTGATCGTAATTTGTTGTTTTCGTAATAAAGAAGTTACACAAAGTAAAATCTTTTCAATCTTTGTTCAATGTTAACAGCTGAAAGATCATCTGATAGATTGTATACATGCATTTGAACAAACTACGTACAATAAAAACCTGCTCAAATCAGCTTAGATGGATGTCATGCATGAGGTTAAACTTGTAGTTATATTAAAGTTCATACTTACGGACCTCTTTTAGAAAATCAAGTAGAGCAGGCATGAGCGGCTAAATCCGAGATGAAAAAAATAAGTGGATTCATGAATTTAATGAGTTCATTGGATGGACAACTATTATAATGGGTGAGCTTCGAGCTATACGGTTTGGTTTGGAATGATTTCAGTCATTGGGGTTCAAACAAGTGTTAGTGGAAATAAATTCTTTGGAAGCAGTCAATTTGAATGTGAGTGTTAATTAGAAATTCTTCTAAGCCTTACAATACTCTTATTGTAGACATCAAAACTCTCATCAATCGTTGATAGACATGCAGTTTGCATCCCATTTTGAGGAAAATGAATAAATGTGTTGATTTTCTTGCAAAATTTAGTGCTTATTCCTAACTTTCTTCTTATATTTGGTATACTCCTCCTCAAATCTTAAATTATATTCTCCTAATTAAACGAAATTGTGAGTATTACTTTTCTTAGATCTTAGTGTTCCTTGTACCAAAAAAAAAAAAAAAAAAAAAAAACAGAGCAAGGCGAAATTTTTGGTCATGTGATGTTGGTTTAATGCAATTTTTCCAAACATCAAAAAATGTTCAAATACAATTAATTAATGATCTTAGTGCTGTTTAATAATAAAAAATAGAGTGATGAGAATCGAATGGAGGAATCGAATGCAATTTAAATTTTTTAATATTTGATTTTTTATACAAATAAAAATAATGATTAAAAAAATAATTTTATCAAATTATAATGGTTGTAAAAATAATAAAGATAATGGTGGTGGTGGTTATAAGTGTGGCGGTTGTGATGGTGGTGGTGGTTGTGATGGTTGCGACGGTGGTAGTGGTAGTGATTGTGATGGTGGTAAAAATAGTTAATAGACAATAAATAAATAAAATATATTATTATTTTGAAAAAAAATTCATTCTCATTTTTTATTTTTATTCCCTTATCTTATGTAGGAATGAAGTTATGTGTAATTTTTTATTTTTATTCACATTCTCACTTCATTCTTTTTAATCAAATAGCTATAACGTGAGAATAAAACTTTTATTCTCATTTTTACCACTCTATTCTTAATTATCAAAGAGCACATGAGAGATTCATATACTAAGTGTGCACGGAAGTACTAGAGAACTCATGCATGCCAACAGTAATTTGCAATTAATACTTAAAAGACTAAGCCACAGTCTTCTAATTTCTAACAAATTTTTCTATTTTAAATCAACAATTAATATTGATGAAAATTCTCCATTAATTTCCAGTTTTGAATAGAAGTCCCAACATAATGTATTATATATATATATATGAATGATTGCATGATATCAGGAATTCCATGGTGGACTTCCAACTTGTTCAATTCTACAATATGATTGCGCCGCATCCGATCCATCTTTTTAAGCTAATAATTAATTCGCTTTGGACATCCAAGCTACCTGATTGGATTTTATGAGATAGTGGTAGCATGATACATAGTTTCCAGATAATTCTCCAATTAATTTGGCTCTGATCGATAGAAATGAATGTTGATAATTAATGAATAAAAAGTACGATTACAAAGTATTTGGCCATTCTTAGGAGTTGCTTACATGGATATGACGCAGCAAATGGCATGATCCTGCCATATTATATATCCATGTGGGCATCAACTCATCCTTTATTGATTGCTATTCTAGGAAAGCAGACACCCTTTTCTCTTCTTCTTCTTCTTCTTCTTCTTCTTCTTTTTGTCGTATTAGATCGAATAATAACCCACTAATCACTAATGTTTAACAAGTAGTGATCTAATCTAGTATTATTAATTATGTTTACAACCTTTGATCATAAGCAAACTAAAGCCTCTTTCTAGGTGAAAAGGAGCCCACCAACATTTTTTATAAAGTTTTGTGATGTTTAGGGAGATGCTTTATCAGATATGAAAGGATCTTAACGGCCTGCACTCTTCTTCTGCTTTCAATTAATTAACTTTTCATTGGAATGCTTACTAAAAAGTAATTGTGTTATATATATATATATATATATATGCTGATCTATATATTGAAGTCATCGCTACGTTATTCATTTGTCAACACAGATTTTGCCGATCTGTAGACGACTAATTAATCATCAATATTTGATATTCTTCTTTGTTTGAACTTCTAGAAAGAAAGGGCAAAAAGGGTCTGCATTATCAAGCTCTCCAGCCAGCTAGCTCCCTGTTTCTTGCTACTAGTTAATTTTTAGGTCAAAGTATCTGTATCTGTATATGTATATGAGACGGTGGTCAGCATCCATTTCTTACCAGGCAGGAGTAACTGAACCTTAAGTATCCTTTTCCCTCTAAACAGAAAAATTGAACAAAAAAAAAAAAAAAGGGAGTGCAGCAGGGCGTATAACTGCTTGAAAGGAACATCATGTGCTAGTTGTAGATTTAAGGATCAATGAAAGAGTATACACGATCGCAATCATATACAATACGTTGATTTCCAACATCTGATTACCTTTTTTCCTTTTTTTTTTTTTTCCTTTTTTGCCTTCTATATCCTATACAGGAAAGAACATTAGATCGGCTATGAGAGGAACATATTTGATCAAACTGGTATTAGTGATATCTGTCACTGTCTTTTTGCTAAGGTTTTCTTCAATCCCTTAATGATCTTCCCAAACCACGCTAAGTTCATGATAAATAGTAGTGCTGGAACCAAAAAGGCCAGAAGAATGCCAAAGAAACTCATCTGGATAACCTGCCAATGAAAGTAAGTGTCGTCATCATCACTTACAACTTTCTAAACATGTCACATTCCTACTCTAGACTATGATCACGCGATATTTAGGATGAAACATGGGAAGTTCGGAAATCATTGACAAAGAACCTTGAAAAGAGTCAGGCCCAGAATGAAAAGAAAAGAGAGAATCATACAGAATTTTAGATAATGTCAGGACTTGTTTTGAACAAGAAATCCGCAACACATTGCCAAACCAAACAATTGTGTATGAAATGGAAAAATGAAAAAATGTGGGTTCAATACAAACAAGATGAGGAGGAAGCATTGTAATAAAATATTTTTGGAGGAATAATTATTTTAAACTTATACAGTGAGGCAAATGGGGTCAGCAAAACGAGGTAATTTAAGCGCATGTTTACCTTGTTCTGACAAATAGAAAACAGAGGAATAGGTATTTGATATCATACTCATGCTATTTCTAACCTTTGTTCATTTTCACAAGCATTCCTTTCCTGATCGTTTGAGGGGATTACTAATGAAAAAAACTATCAACTTGCTTCTGGGTATGAATTATTTTACTCAAATCAATAGAATAATTGCAGATAACAAACATTTTTAATTAGCACAAATCCACTGCCTATAAGATACAAATATTTTGGGAGAGGGCATTACCTGATCATAGTGCACGTAGATGTGGTGAAACAGGTATAGAAACAGCAGAATTCTTGCCATCTGCATTCCAGTGCTTACTCAGAAAATAATAAAAATGATAAATCAAGGATAGAGTACTTGTGTTGCATTATTGAATATAAGCGAGATAGGTTTTCTGGCCACTAAGTCGCCACCAAGAGGCAAGAAACCTGAGCCAGCTTATTCCAATCTTAGAAATATCATAAGTTGTTGACTCAAAAATCTATCGACCACATGCTTTGACTTTCGGCAACAAGGTCATCCATGATTAATGATTTAGATTAGTTTGTGCATAAATATACATATAGATACAGGAATACGTATTTTTATTGTCATGGATATGGGCAACAATCACTAAATATTCAAGAAGATCTCACCAGCCAAACAAGAAAGATTGCTAGACCATTAATAAGATACGCAGCAGACCTCTTCAGACCAGCTGTATCTAGATACCTACATAGAACAAAAAAAGATCAGTGTTAACAAAAAAGCTCGCGCTTGTGAAGAATATGACTCATCACAAAACAGCTCGAGCTTGTTAAGAATTGGAATCATCACGAAACCTACCATCTCATATTAATCTCTGGAGTTGTCACTTCAGAGATGAGGCACATATATGTATAAAGCTGCATTTCTCCAGACAACATAGAATATGCTACTGCAATTGTAGAAAGAGAATGATGGATAACCTGAAACCAAATGCGACCATGTTGTGAGTTGCAATGACATCCGTCTAAAAGTTAACACTTTTCCTCCAGCACTATAGTGTGAGTCCCCATATGAGAGCTACTTTGTGTTCAACTTTGTTCATATAACCTACTGTGCTGTGAACTGTTCTCCCTAGTTAATCGATATGGTGCTGATTCACCACTCTTACATAGAGAAAACAGTATTCAGAATTTGGTTAAAGATCGATGAATTGGTTATTCTGGAATAGATGCCAAGAGGCCAAGAAAATCAAATGTGGAATGCGAGGTCAGAAACCTCACTTCCTTGTGTGGAGAATTCCATTATGCCAGATGACTCAAGGGAAAAAAATCCATTATGAAACAAAAATATCTATATCCCAAAGGAGTGCAGGAGGAAGTTAATCTAAAGGCACAGCAGAAAGAAGACAAACACACATGAAAACAGTTGTATTGAGACGACTTCTCGTTTTTAATAAAACAGAAAAAGAAAAATGTTCGATTGCTCTGCATCAAATTGAATGCACTTACATACTCCTTCCCACCCAAAGTAGGATAGTACAACAAAATCATTCCAAGGTCAGCAAAGAAGTACCCAACAGAAACCTGTCAGAAAAGGAGAACTATTTCATGTCAAAACTACTTATTGTAAAATTTAGGGAACAAATAAATATAGAAGAATGATATCCAGGAAGGCTGGCAAAGCATTCTTAGAGATATGATTTCTCATCATGTTTCATAAATGCAAAGAGAACTATGCCTCGCTAAATGGGCGGAATAGCTGATTCAGCCCGTTGCCAATCTTGAGTGCATTTTTCCAGTCTAATAGAAAACTCTCAAATGAAAAAAGGAATAGATACCCTATCCGGCCAAGAAAGATTTACTAATACAACTTTGCATACTCTAGTTCAACCTGAATCAGGGCGACAATTTATATATGAGAAGTTACACTAAACTGTGTGGTGCCAACACCAATAACTAACACATGGGATATGAGGTCAACTACTAACGCAAAGATATTGCACTAATAACTGAGTCAAGCTCACAGAACTGCTTTTCAAGCCCATGATATGGTGGATCATTTCAGGAAAAGAAGGAAAAAGAGAGAGAAAGAAAGATTTGACAGCAGGGGAATCAAGCAGAGATGAGATAATTCGTTAAATATCACCAAAGCAGAGCTAAAAAAAGAACTTACCCCAAGTCCAACAATGGAGAGTTGTGAACTTCGTAATGTAACAAGGCCAGTATGCCGTTGGTCAGAAAAGAGATCTGACCAGAAGACAAAGTACAATGACATAGCTGTGATGAAAATGGCATGAATTGTAGACATTCCTCTGCCAATATAGGTCATTGATCATCAGTATGCTGGCAACATTTAAAAAGGATGACAGAGTGGTAATATTGGAGCATGTACTCACCGATTGTTCCACTCAATTCGTTGAATTTTTGTAAGACCATTATAAGCTTTGATGTAAAAAGTGCTGATTAATTGAGTGAGATCATAGGCCTGTCAGACAGAAAAGTAACATAGGCACGAACTAATAAAGGCAAAAGGTAACAATACAAAACCCACTTAAGGTATAAAAAAGCTTATTGTATTAGAATTGCTCTACCATCAATAATGAGGTAGGTGCATGATTACACCCTCCAATAAAACTAAAATGAACATACTGCTGGTCAGGCAACAACTCTCAAGTCCAAAAGAGATCTAAAAAATAAGACGATTACCACTTTGCAAGCAAAAATGCCACCAAGGACAGAAGTGTAAGGAATGAAAGGATCTGCTAATAAGTAATTCTTAACCAATGCCTCAGCCTGATTTTGGTAAGACTTGATAGCAATAACTGTCTCTGTAGACACAGCCATAATCGACAATCCTTTTGATCAGCAGATCTTCTCTTTTGTGTCTTCTCCTACTTTCTTCCCCTCTTTATTTTGCCTTTTCATTTCTTCCCTAACAGAAATGAGCAACAAGTTAGCCCCAAAATAAAAAGATACTATGATGCTGAAACAAACCAGTTTGATCTTCTCCGATGTATAATATCCTCTCACAGTCTCAGATACACAGAATTAACAAAAGACGGTTTTAGTTTGTATTTTTCAATCTAAAGAAAGAATGCAAAATAATCTAACATTTCGCACTAGTGCCTAGATTATGCATTTTCCATAAAAGAAAAGCAAGCTACTATAGGTATATATAACTATAGAAGGAAAGGTAATTGAAATTTCATTGTAAGGAAATTGCCAAAGGAACCTACTATTAGTTCTCATAATCAGTAAAAAACTACAACGCCAGACCTCCAGTTAAGCAGAGGATCACCTATAGACCATCATCATGGATCCACAAAATCAGAACTTTATTTGCAAAATCAGTGAACATATAACTATAGAAGGAAAGGTAATTGAAATTCCATTGTCATCTTCAACATGAAGAATACTGCATTATGTAATAGCAAAATCAGTGCACGTATCCACATATATGTCTAGCTTCATGCTCAAGATGTAAGGAAATTGCCAAAGGAACCTACCATTAGTTCTCATAATCAGTAAAAAAACTACAACGCCAGACCTCCAGTTAAGCAGAGGATCACCTATAAACCATCATCATGGATCCACAAAATCAGAACTTTATTTGCAATAGATGAATCCAAGTTTTTTGTAGCTTCCTCATGTTACAGTAATACATCAACAACCAAACTAAGACAAGACGAAAGGGAAAAAAATAAATAAATAAAGTAACAAATCTTGATATATCAAACAACAAATGAAATCAAATCACACTATTCATCGACATAAAAAAATCTAAACTTTAAGCCCATTTTGCATCATATCAAAACAATGCAAGCATCCCATGTCATTAAATGACCAGAAAACTCACACTAATCAATCATCAAATCAAATCATGCATTCTTTTTATAAGAATCAAATCCTGCGTTATAAAATAATAAAGCCATTAAAGAGAAAACTTACCGACATTCATACGTTATTGACAAAAACGCAGACCACACTTTATAGATCAAGAGCAAATGGCCAAATGGGTATTTAAGGAAACAAAAGAGAAGCCAAGAAAAATGAAAGAGCAAATGGGCATATGGGGTGTTTGTGATTGATAAAGAAAGAAAGCTGATGCAAAATGAGCCAACAAAAAAAGAATAACCCACGAAAGAAAGAGAGCCAACACTCACGAGTAGATGCAGGTGGTGAGTGTTTGAGACCGAGAAGTAATCAAGTCATCTATCAATGCAAGTCCACACGCACAAAAATTGATAGCAAACCGTAGGGTTCAATCAATGTGAAGTACCACTCTAAATGGGAATCTTTAACCGAAGCAATGAATGAAAGTTCGTTACTGAAATAAGAGAAACTACAAATCAATCCCTAATTCTGTATTTTTTTTCATATTGGTTATCATATTTTTCAAATTGATCAATACTACCCTAATACTATTATATTTTTCTTCTTAAGATGCGTTGCAACTAAAAATGAACATCATGCTTCTCATATCCATATATATGTGAAACAACCTTCATCGCACCAATGTCGAGGTTAGAGAAATTAATTATCTCCATCAATAGGCTTAATATGATATAGATATGCTATTTTAAAAAAAATGATGGCATCTAAACTCACATTTTTCAAGTTAAATATATTTTTTACTAAAATCTTGTAGGATTTCAATTTTTATTGACTCGTGATAATAGATTCTTCTTTTGTGGATATTTGTTCTTTCAAAATCCTACTTCCAACATTTTTTAATTCCAAAACCAACTCTAATTTCAGTACAAAATTTCTTTTATAAATCATGTGAAAGTGTAGAATGTCTTTAATTGAATGTTATAATTAATATTGAATTGTCCTATTAAATCATTAATAATATTTATAGAAATTCAATGGATTTGTTAGATTAAAATAATATAATGAAATTAACAAAAGATAAGAATTTTTTTATAAAAAAAAAAGCTTCAAAACATGTAGTCTAGATACTTTGGGTGTGCCAACTAGAGGGAGAGAAAAAATTACATTGATGATTAGTTAACAATGATGTTTATATGATTTAATGGATGAATATTTGTACTATTATTTAATCAAAATTGAAAGAACGAAGAAAAAAACATTTTATGTGACAAGAGAATATAAAGATAATGAAAATGAAAAATGAAAACCTTAAAAATCAGTGCCTTATTTTGTTTTTTAAGAGATCTTACAATATCTAAATATATTAAACCAATCTATGATAGATTAATATGATGTTAACTAAGCTGATTATATATATAGCACCCCATTTTTTATTAGAAAATAATTCTTATGAAATCATGCAAGTATTAAGATTTCATTAGTAGGTTTAAACAATTAGAATTGGATTTTTAACATACACGAAAAAAAAAAGAACTAACATATATTGCCGTGTTTAATGGTTTTACAGAAGAATGCTAATTCTGAACTTTTAGTGGATTTAATGAAAACAATTTGTATAGTTATGGGATTGATTTGTAGATTTTCAGAAAATTGAAAAAAAAAAAACAAGCAGAAATGAAGGTGGGTAGGGAGGGTAGGGTGATAAGACGTGTGGACTAAAGCTTGAATATATTGATTGTATTGTTTCCCTTTTGGTTTTGCTCTTTGGATATGGATAGCTAGTTGGGGCCTTGTGGCTTGCATTGCAATACATTATCCAAGGAGATAGGGAAGGTGTGAGAAATAGAACAAAGGTACCGTTTTGAGTGGTTGGAAAATAAAAACAATGATAGCCGTTGATTAATTTTGTAGTAATTAAGTTTGATTATTAACGTTGGTTGTGTTTTCTCAAATAAGTTAGGTCATGGGAATCCTATGATTGGTGTAATGGAGTTTTTGAGTGATGCGTCATTGTCCAAAGTGATTTCAAAACCTTCTCAAAAAAGCGATTTCCAAATCATTGTATCATATTTTCGAAACAAAATTACACCTTTATTCGTTGCATGTGTTAGAGAGAGAGAGTAAATCTAATGCTCTTTTTTTCTGTCCTAATGCTATTGTCTAATTTTTTATTTGTATTTATGTGTTTTTCTAGTCAAAATTTTAATGCAATTTTTTTTAAAAAAGATTGCTAATTAAAGTTTGTTTTGTAAAATATCGACTATGTTATACAATCCAGGGTAACTAATTTATTGTACATGCTACATCACAAGTTTGACAAAAAAGGTGAAATCAATTGAAAAATCCTTTCAGTTCAACAGATTTTACCATATTACGAGTCTATTAAAATATATTAAATTAAAAATAAAAAAATTATTTAATTTTATAATTTTTAATCAAAATTTTATATTTAATTAATTCTTCTTTATGTTTTTCATAAATTTTCTCATTAAAAAATATGATTTGTTATTCTTTATGCGTGGATTCTTAAATAAGAATTTGTAATAATTCAAATAATAGATTTAATTGAAAATAAAAAAATACCTTAATTTTTTTCATAAGATTTTATGAAACAAAATAAAGCAAAAAATAATGTAAATATTGTTATTTAATATTTATGAGAAGATTATTTTTCGAAAGTATGTACATTATGTTTATATACATTTATGCATAAAATAATCAATAATATTTGCATTAAAAAACCTCAATTTGAAGAGGATGATATTATCGAGGTCATTTTCACAAAATATTATTTTACTTGAAAGAAATTAATTTAGAATATCTAAAAATTAAATAAATAAATAACAAATAGTTTGTGTTCGTATATATAGATACATAATTAATTTTTAATAAAATTAATAATTTAGTTTACACACACCATGACTATATTGAATAGGTACAAAGTCTGCGACATGAAATAAAAAATACTTAACTTATAAGAGATATATTAAATAAATTTAAAGTTAATAAATCAAAATAAAAACTATTAAAAAATTAATTATACAAAGAAGAAGCAAACATACTTTTAAAAAATTGATCTAAAAAAATACTTTTGTTTTTAGACCATACATATCTAATCTTCGTGCACAAACGTCGCATGTGGAACAACCATTTTTTTCTTTTCACTTTTAATCATTAATTTAATTGTTTTTAAAAATAAGATATATGTAACCTTATATATTCCTTGGCCATAGTCAATGGACGGCACTGGTAAAAAGAATCAGGGTAGATGGACTTTAGTTCTGTACTTATTATATAACAACGTACATATTCTTTCAATATAAAATTCGGTTTCCCTAAAAGGGTAGAGTCTGTCAGACAACCGCATGACCATCCTCGAGCCAGATCAGTGGCTGAGGAACAATCCTCTACAGCCATGATGACCACATAAGGACCATCAAACCGTTAATCACGCTATGATCACACGGTCATGGTTCATCAACCAGACTTGGGTTCCTGTCTCCTTAGTGATTAAGGATACAGAGGTACGATCCTATAGAACAGATCCTGTTCAAGTAAGGTCGTGCCCGATGCTGTTTCTCATCTCTTTATTAACGGCCTTTCTAATCTCGTTAGTTTTCGATATGGTATAAAGCGTCCAACCACAGGGTATTTTTGTCCAAAGAGAAAAGGTTAGCGCGTCTTTTGCTTCTAAAGTCCCGATAAAAACCAAGAGAGGGCTGGTGAAAGTACTAGGATACCCATGAGCTGCGGCGTTGTTATTGTGATGGTGTTATTAAATTAAGGTCGATTATTTTCGAGGTCGGAAGCGCAATTAAGGTGTGTTTTTTTTTTTTCTTGATTTTCTGAGTTCTAATTTTGAAACTGGTATCGGATAGATTTAATTATTTTGAATGCACTTATCAATGTAGAAATAAAATTTTAAAATTATTTAGAGAAAAGACTTAATCTCGATTAATGAAAATGTTTTTTTTATCGTAGAATAAAAAAATAGATACAATAATATAAGT